AGCAAACTCCAAGAGGGGGGAAAAAAACCTACAGCAATAGCTCTTTTATACCGATGACAATTCTGCAAATGCATACATGTAAAGGCAGCTGAATGCATGAATAAAAGGGACACTTTTACTACTCGGTCACATACCGGTATGTTGGCGGCGGCTGCAATGAAGGAAGCAGCACACTCGGTGTTTGTGGAATGGGGAGATAAGGGCCAAAATAAGACACGCATAAGGGGATCTCCCCAAAGCAGCGGAGAAGTGCCTTTTAGCAGTCTGCATGGCTTTTATCCAACAGATGTAGAGCAGCAGGGAAGCCTGCATGAACCCAGCAGCCGATCCGCAAAATTCAGCCGAAACCGGGGAAGTATAAATAGAGACTCACATCATTACAGGCTTCCAAGCATCAGAGTACCCTTTGCTTGAGAAGCAGGACACAGCCAGTTGGCTTGATCGGCCATCCAATTTCTCTAACATAAACTGCCTGCTGATTGTCAAGATGTTGAGCGGCTCCGATCTGACACTCTTTCAGGGACGTGTTTAATCTATTAGCCTCTCGCTGAAAGAGAAAAGGAAGAAGAATCTGGCTTCTTCTCACCACAGAATGCTTGATAGGCTTCTAACGAGCCCGGCTACTTTGAAGAAAAGACAGAGGTAGGGGATAAGGAAAAACGTTCTTATGTGGTAACAAGAAATCACCGGTTGGACCAAGACCAACATTCTTAGCAATTTCTGGAGGAAGCAAATGGGGCAAGTGTGTGGCCAATGGTGGGTTTTGGGGTTGTTGGTTTTTTTGGCAGATTAAGAATATATGGATTTGTGTTCCGTTCCGTTTTTCCTAACTGCAGGCATTAAGAGGATCTCCTTTGGGGAAGGGCTTGCAGTAAGGAAGTCTAGTCCAGGGGTCTTAAAACATGGCCCATTTATGACTTGTGGACTTCAACACCCAGAATTCCTCAGCCAGGCACGTGTGGAATTCTGGGAGTTGAAGTCCACAAGTCATAAAAGGGCCAAGTTTAATAATAATAATAATAATAATAATAATAATAATAATAATAATAATAATAATAATAATAATAATAATAAAAAAGTTGGAAGGGACCTTGGAGGTCATCTAGTCCAACCCCCTGGTCAGGCAGGAAACCCTATACTATTTCAGACAAATGGCTGTCCAGTCTCTTCTTAAAAACTTCCAGTGTTGGAGCATTCACCACTTCTGGAGGCAGGTTGTTCCACTGGTTAATTTTTCTAACTGTCAGGAAGTTTCTCCTTAGTTCTAAGTTGCTTCTCTCCTTGATCAGTTTCCACACATTGCTTCTTGTCCTGCCTTCAGGCGCCTTGGAGAATAGCTTGACTCCCTCTTCTTTGGGGCAGCCCCTGAGATATTGGAACACTGCTATCATGTCCCCCCTCATCCTTCCCTTCCTTAAACTAGACATACCCAATTCCAGCAACCGTTCCTTATTTGAAGACCCCTGGTGTAGCCTATCCCTGAACAGCTGACCTCTAAAGCGGGAATAGGAAAACTACAACACCCAGAAGCCCCTGCCCTTAACAATACAATCTGGAGCCCACAGAAATTAGTTACATACCAACGTAACTGAGTAAGACATGAAAGGAGACGGGAAAGCTCTCAGAACTTGGATTCCAATCATGGCAGATGAACCAGTCTGGTTGGTCACCCTGTTCCTTAGGGAGCTGCTTATTAACGCAGCGCAAGTGACGCTGCAAGTTTCAGTGGCAAAAGCAAGCAAAGCCCAGCCAAGGCTGTGCTTCCACATGAAGCCAAAAAACGCATGCCGCAAATTTGCAGAGCTGTGGAATTCACACAAGACCAAGCAGGAAAAAAAATCTCTCATTTCAGAAGAAGGTTACGTAGGACAAAAAGTGTGGGTGTAACAAACCTTCCTATCCCTGCCAATTCCCCAGGCATCTGGAAATGGAGGCCGGGAGAGGAGAGTCAGGGGGCTCTAACAAATAGGAACTGGGGCCTGGTAACTTAAGAGTAGAGGCCCCCAACCTTTTGGGCACCAGGGACCGGTTCCGTGGAGAAAGATTTTTCCATGGAGCTGGGGAGAGTGTAGTTTTGTGTGCTGCCTGCATCCCGCAGATGGGGCTTTGCTTGTTTGTGTGGACCGGTTGCTGACATGCCGCAGCCCGGTACTGGTCCACGGACCAGGTGTTGGGACCCCTGTCTTAGAGTTTGCATCACGGAGACAAATATTGCCTGCCCAACTCAAAGGAGTAGAAAACATCTGCTGAGTGTCTCAGGAAGTGCAAAGGGAAGAGGCACATGTGCTTTGTGACAGCTCCCAGCTTTGGAACAGCTTACCCCCCCGCCGGCAAGGAAACATTCCCCCCCCCTCCCTGCTTCCCCAGCCTTCCAGAGAACAGTTAAGATTTGGCTCTTGCAGAAACTCTTGGAGGTTAAAGAGCTGGACTCAGATCTCCCCCATGCACGGAGTTGCTGCTGTGTTGTGGGTTGACTCTCACAGTGCTACTGCTGTATTGCATTATTACCTGATGTCATCCAGGGCCTAGGGCAGGCAACCTTGGCTCCTTTATGACTGGTGGACTTCAACTCCCAGAATTCCTGAGCCAGCCATGCTGAGGGGAAAGGGAGAGGTTTCCAAGCTGAGCCATGCCGGCTCAGGAATTCTGGGAGTTGAAGTCCACAAGTCATGAAGGGGCCATAGTTCCCCCATGTTAACTTAGGAATTCTGGGAGTTGAAGTCCACGAGTCATAAAAGGGCCATAGTTCCCCCATGCTGGCTCAGGAATTCTGGGACTTGAAGTCCACGAGTCATAAAAGGGCCATAGTTCCCCCATGCTGACTCAGGAATTCTGGGAGTTGAAGTCCACGAATCATAAAAGAGCCAAGGTTGCCTACCCCTGGCCTAGGGCCTTGGAGCCAGACAGTGGAGAAATCTTACACATCACCAAACCGACAACAGATCTAATACAAAAGTCCCCCAGGTTGTTGTCACTCAGAGGAAACGGAAACCCCAGACGGCGGAGTGGAATAATTTGCCAAGTATCCTGGGGTCACCGATGGAGGAGTTTGCTTTCAGGAAGTGAAGCTTAGGAGGCAGTTTTGTCTGCCTTCCTGAGGGAGGGCCGCAAATCTCCCCAGGGAAAACGTTTCTTCTGGAAATCAACAACCGGCTGACCCAGATGGCAGGAGCCTTCTTTGACAAGAGATTTCCCTGACTCAGGGAAGCTGAATTGGCTAAACCAGGGGTAGGCAACCTTGGCTCTTTTATGACTCGTGGACTTCAACTCCCAGAATTCCTGAGCCAGCATGGCTCAGCATGGAAACCTCTCCCTTTCCCCTCAGCATGGCTGGCTCAGGAATTCTGGGAGTTGAAGTCCACGAGTCATGAGGGGGCCATAGTTCTCCCATGCTGGCTCAGGAATTCTGGGAGTTGAAGTCCACGAGTCATAAAAGAGCCAAGGTTGCCTACCCCTGGGTTAAACCAACCGAGAGAGATAGGAGAAAGATTTCAGATCTACCCTGAAACCTGCTTGCAAAGGAAACAGAATGAGACAGGAAAGAGCTTGTGGTGGGGTTTTTTTTGTTTTGTTTTTTTTCATTTCTACCCAAGGTTCTAGCTCTCAAGACACCCCCTTGCTGAGAAAGGCTTTCTAGAACATCTGAGTGGGCGGAAGGTTGGCGTTTCATTTAGTGCAACCCAAACGTGGTATTAATTTTTTCTCCTGTTCCTAGAATGGCTTGCCCAGCCCTGCTCAAATGCCAGGAGGCTGTTCTGAAGGCAACCTATGAAACCTAAGTCCCAAATTTCAATCTTTAGTCCCTGGATCTCCTGAGAGATTCCAGTGAATGGCTAAGGAATTGTGGCTGGCGAAGGAGAAGAGCCTTTTCTGTCGTGGCTCCCACTCTTTGGAATATCATGCCCTGCAAGGAGAGATTTGCCCACACCCCCTGGCCTTACCAAGGACCCTGGAAACCTGGATCGGTCAACTGGCTTGGGGCCCGGATGGGGACATCCCCCCACTTTGCAGTTGGCTAGTAAATTAGAAGATCCCGACCTCCGTCCTGTCCATACCCTGGTTCTTTTTATCAGTTTTAATATTAATTCTAACCTTTTAAAATTTCAAATGCCCAATGTTTTAATCTTCTAATTGTTTCAAGGCCATGGTGGCACACTGGTTAGAATGCAACATTGCAGGCTGATTCTGCCCACTGCCAGGAGTTCGATCCTGACCGGCTCAAGGTTGGCTCAGCTTTCCGTCCTTCCGAGGTCGGTAAAATGAGGACTCAGATTGTTGGAGGACGATATGCCGACTCTGTAAACCGCTTAGAGGAGGCTGCCACGCACTGTGATCTAAGTGCTATTGTTAGTGTTATTATTCTGTTATTTATGGCGTACTAAGCAACCCAGAATTGCTTGATAGTGAGATGGGGGGGGAGGCTACAAATTTAATAAATAAGCAAGTAAGTAAGTAAATAATAAATAGGTGGTGGAAGAACTCAGCGGACCTGTCAATCAAAGCAAGACTGTGGGAAAAGGAGCAAAGATGTAACGCTCAGCTCCCCAGAGAAGTGGGGTAGAAGGACCTAACACAGGGGTAGGCAACCTTGGCTCTTTTATGACTCGTGGACTTCAACTCCCAGAATTCCTGAGCCAGCCATACTGAGGGAAAAGGGAGAGTTTCCAAGCTGAGCCATGCTGACTCAGGAATTCTGGGAGTTGAAGTCCACGAGTCGTAAAAGAGCCAAGGTTTGCCTACCCCTGACCTAGCAGAACAATCTTTACATTTTCTGCATTCAGGTCCTTTCAGGATGCAGCTGTCTTCAACTGCATTGATTTTACAACTCTTTTGAGGACTGGGGAGAAACAAAAAAGGCCACTTATTTTTAAAGCAAGTGACAAAAGCGACTCAGCTTCATTCACCGGAAAATCCACCCCTCAAAACAAAACAAAACCTCCTCCCAAAAAACAAGTAGGGGTAGGGTTGGGTTTGGTTTTTTTTTTTTTTTGTTCATTCACCTGTTCCTGAAATTGCTCTTGTGACAGGCAGTCAATCAAGTCCACGCAGCCGAGCAGACAGCCGGAGGGATAATCCTGGGGAAATTCCAAATCTGCGGTAAGCAGGAGAGAAAATTATAAGGCAAGCTCACGCATGTGCCTCGAGTTTCTGCCGTTCTCCACATGGTCCTGATTAGCCTTTGCCAGCCCTCGCGTGCGCTCACTCCATGCTACTTTCAACTGCTAATTTAATGGTTTGGATCAAACACAGGCCTCTTAGGGAGCACTGCCTGACAAGACACACTTGTGGAGAAGGGAGTTCATGGCTGCATCACAGGAAGCAATTCTCCATCAGGACCTTAAGCCGAGAACTTCCACGTTTCAACTGTTACCCTTCCAGCCACACAATAATCTCCCCCAGGTTATGGTGACCCTTCAAAGGTTAATGTTGTGTCCTGCAGGCCCTTAACACCTTCTTCAGGGCTAAGAAACAGCCCTCTCTGTGGAACCCATTTCCTGCAATCTGATGGTCAGATGTAGGTGATAGGCTTCTGTCTTGAGAAGCTCACAATACATACTTGAGGGGAATTGAGAAATAAGAAACACAGGGTGACAGGATCAATAGGCTAGCAAAAAAAAAATGGGGCTCTGGAAAAATCGTTTGTTGGGCTATAGTAATGCACAAAGAAACAAGATTTGGAGTCATGCAGTGAACTAATAAGCCAGAAAATATGTGTCGAGTTTCAACCCTGCTAGAGTGGTTTGTGGTTTCACACACTGCATAACAGCAGTCAATTTTAGGTCAACGTTCATTGTTAAATAATCCACGGTTTTACATGACATAAATGTCACACTTTCATAAATAACGCATACATGGTGTCTTTTCTCTCTTCCTTCAGGCTTCCTGCCCCTGTGGCTATCTTTCTCTCAACATCTCCTTTCCCTTTAGAGCAATTTCTTGACACCTATTTATCCAAGCTAAGCAAGCTCGGTTGTTTTGAAACTCTTTCCCTTGGGGGGGGGGTCCTTTCCATACATCGGAGAGTCAAACTGAAATGTGATGTCATCGCGACAATGGAGAAGGCAAGAGAGCACGGACGTAAAGAATGGCACACAAGGAAAAAAAGCACAAGGTTTTCATGGAAACATTTTGAGCGCTGTCTTTCCAAAGCCGCTTTGCCCTACAAGCTATGAGCATAAAACATACCAAAAAAGGTAAATAAAAATAATAAAAAAGATGTAAAACAGACACAAACTGTTTCAATTCCTTCCTTCGGGACGGTTCTATAGGGCAGGGGTCTTCAAACTTGGCCCTTTTTATGACTTGTGGACTTCAACTCCCAGAATTCCTCAGCCAGGCATGCTGGCTGAAGAATTCTGGGAGTTGAAGTCCACAAGTCATAAAAGGGCCAAGTTTGAAAACCCCTGCTATAAGGCATAGCATGCCAAGACAACTAGACACAGGGACTGTTTTTTTCCCCCTCTTGTGCCCTCACTCTGCGGAATACCTAATTCTCACAGTTCTGTCTAATGTGTATGTCTATTAAGCCATACATTATTATTTATCCTTTCTCTTTACTTCCTCCTTTTATTATGGTTCGGTGTGCAGTCAGCCAGATGTTCTGACTGGATTAGGCATTTTTGTCTACCTCTCGAGTCGTTTCCAAGGACCTAGGATAGGCAGATGTGGACTGTTACTATCATTACCCTGTCTGCTGCTTTGCATGTACAGTGAGTGCTTCGGTACCAGAGTTAAATTCCTTGTGGCTCTATCAATCAGTCTGTTTATTACAGCCGTAAGGCCAGACATAATCAAAATGTATAACAACAGTAACAATTTTACTTCCGTATTTACAGGATATAAAACCACCAAACAATCAATATAGTATAATCCAAAATTCTCAAAATAAAACATCATATTAAAAAAAAAATATCAGACCTTAATAATGGTGCGACGTGTTGTGCAAATGGTAGCACAAAATTGGGCAACTTGAATGGATATTTTCGGATCCTTATCCGAAAGTAGCAACTTTAGATAAAATTCATATCCCCTGCCTGGAAATTTCTTCAATATCGGCTATATAAGAATCTGTCTAGAGTCTTTATATAAAGAGCAATGAAGCAACATATGGCTTAGAGTTTCTATAGAGCCATCACCACATGGGCACAACCGAAGGTGCATAGGAATGCCCTTAAACCGTCCAAAAAGGACTGCCAAGGGCAATGCACCTTGCGGCTCTAATCACTTGGCCGAAGAAAGTATTCCACTTCCACTTTTTCTTCATTTTCCTTCTGGCCTTCCAGGGGAAAAAAACCCCCAACAAAGATAAAAGGATAAAGCTCACCTTCCTGGAGCAATGTTCTGTAGGTGGCCTCCAGCTCAGAGATTTCCTGGGGGGTAGGTCTTTTTGCGGTGGCTGCTATCCATAGCCGGCCTCTGTGGGATGTGTACCAAATTCGGCCTTCCACCCTGTGGAACAAAAGGGAAGGATCAGAAACGGAGCCCACCTCCCCGTGGGTTTCTCTCTCTTTTTTTTATAACAAGTTTTATTAATTTTTCAATGTTTACATCCAAGTAATTAGGAAGCAGCGTGGTGATAGGGTAATCAATAGTCCAATAACAAAATCATTCATGTATATCTCAGGTTACATCATTAAAGGTTCCCTCTCTATTTCCCTTAATTATTATATCATATTCAAGTTATTTCATTTCTAGATAAAGCTCAATCAATCAATACATCTATCTATATAAATAAAAATGTAAATGTTCGTTTGTTCAAAATCTTAAATCTCCGAAAGTTCTTCACCGATTGCTTTGAAATTTTGACACAACGTTGCATTCGAATACGCGTGTGTTTTTATATACCTACTATTATATAGATGTCACATCTGTGACAGGTAAAAACATGCTTTTTTAAAAAAAAAACAGCGCCATCTGTTGGACGTAAAAGCAACACATGCTTTTACCAGACTGAGCCATAGCAACGCGTGGCCGGGTACAGCTAGTTTATCAATAAAATTTTACTTATACATATCAAAGTCCTGTTTTTTAAATTTTACTTAATTCCAATTACCATGTTCCAGTTTAGCCTTTAATAACCATAATGTTTAAACTTCAGGTAGCCCTAATTTCCCTCATTTCATTAAAAGATAATTATCGTGTCTAGAATACCCATATTGTTCCGAAAATTACATTCTTACTTTATTTCACAAATATATTCTATTTCTTGTCCTGGTAGCTCCTCATTTGCTAATAAAATATCTTTCACTGTCACAAACCCATTTCCATATTACAATTCAAAGCTGTAATCTAACAGTTAATTTTCATTTCCATTATAAATCTAGGTCCTAAATATTAAATCAATCAATATCTCTAAAAATCCCCTTAACCCATTAAGTAAAATTTTAAGCTATTCCATCATCCCGTGGGTTTTTTGACATGTCACTCAAGGAACATTTTCTTTGGAAACCACGACATGAAAGCCTGGGTGGACCTCTAAGCCAATCTGAGTCTCAGAATGAGCCTCAACCAATGAAGAGGAAATGGCCGAAACAAAAGGGCAGAGAGTCCTTAAAAAGCTTGACCACCAAGGAGACTCCGAAAAGAGCAGAGATCTTCCAAACAGGTAGATACAGTTTTACACCTTCCCAGTTTTCCAACAATAACTGAGGTTTATCCCTGCATATTTACCAAGGAATAAGAGAAACGTTTTTTTTAATATGGAAAAAAGGGTTCTTTGAAAGATTTTTTTTCTTTCCCTAGAGTTCTTTCTGGTGTCAGGAGACAACCAAGAAAGCCAATATATAATGGGTATGGGTATCACTAAACCCAATACAATGAGGAAAGTCCAGGGCTTAATTTGTAAAATAGATAAAAGTCAGAGTCCAAATGTACTTCTAAATGCATGGGTTTTTTCCCCCCCACCAATGCAAAACTGATGGGATGGTTGGGCTTTTCATTTCGAACCACTGACCTCTAAAATAAGAAGGTTGTCTCAAAATGCCTGAGAATCTAGGCTAAGGGGTGGGGGTGGGGGAGGGAGGAAAGGACTGTCTTACAACCATGGTCATTTTCTTTGGGGGGAAAGGAGCTAGGGAAGAGTTACTCTGCTTATACGTAGCTGCTCAGCTGGCATTAAGCCCTTTCCTCTAAGGAGCTTAGAACACTAAATACAGCCAAGCCATTTTTATCATTTTGTAACTGTGGAAGAAAGACAGCGAGGAGGGGCCCAACATAATACATTTCATTTAATGACAAAGCAGCCATTTGAAAGAAAAAAACAAAACCTCTAGCCTCTGGGTCCAATAATATCTCCCCCAATATATCCCAGTGGGTCCTCGTCCTTGTTGCTGCGAGTGTGGCCAATGATCAGCTGATTGTCCATTAGATTTTTGTTGACATCCAGCCTTACAAATCTCTGCTCTCTCTAGGGGTTGCATGGCTACACTTACGACCCCAATATAAAAGCGATGGGAATTATAACTCAATGCATTAGAAAGCACCAGGGTTGGGGGGAAAGCAGCATTAGAACATGCAGCAACTGTGTTCAACACACACCCAAGGGTGTTTTTCCCCCCCTTCAACTAGAGAGGTGGAAAACAGCACCACCTGGTGAATTGATCAGAAGGGTTAAAAAATGTTCAGGCTAGCAGTAGAATTTCTGGGAGTTGAACTCTACAGGTTTTGAAGTTGCCCTGGTTGGACTGCCCTTTGTCTACAGGTAGTCTTTGGTTAATGACTGCCCTGTTTAATGACGGCTTGAACTTATGACGGCGCTGAAAAAATAACTTTACAATTGGTCCTCGCACTGGGCCACAATGGCCCCAGGGTTGAGTGGTTACAATCTGGAGGCTTCGCAACCCACAGATGTTTACGCCCGTTGCGGCGTTCTGGGGTCACGTGATCACCTCATGTTGTAGACATGTGATGTTTTGCTTAATGACTGTGTCACTTAGCAGCGAAGTTGCTAGTCCTAATTTGGGGACCTATCATTAGCCTCTACCAGAAATTTGATTCTGATCATCTTCTATGTATGAAGTATTAGTAAGATAATGTAATTTAAAGAGGAGGGTGCATCCTGCTCTGTGGAAAATAACCAACAGAATAAAAAAGGTAGAATCAATTCTTGAACATCCTCAGAAAACAAAACAAAAAAAAAGATTGCTGGTGGCTATCAAAAACCTACTCCCATGTGGCAATTTTTCCAGCCTCCCCCTGCGAAAAAAAAACATTGTGCCATATTAAGCCCCCAAAGGATATTTTTTACAGGTTAGGGCAATCCCCAGGGCTTACAAGCCACAGGGGGAGGAAGAGAAGCACATGAATGTCACAAACATGAAAAGAAAGCAGCTAGAGCTCATTAAATAACACCAGCAGCCCCAATTAAAGAAACGCCAGCGTGTTTTCCCTAAAGCTTGCGCTCCTATAAAATGGTAACGCCACTTAGGTGAGGCCAGTCAACCTGATTTGCAATAGCAGCTGGGCAAACCTGGTGTCACACAAATGGCCCATTTTCAGCAGAAGGCAGTGGGGGGGAAAACGTGTTAAATTCAGCTTGCGACTATTGTGGAATTCCTCTGTTCACACCACGATGCTGGGCAGATGCCGCTGGTATTCAGTACAGCCCCCCAATTTCTCCAAAGAAAGCTCACCTGAGTAGGTTCACGTGTTATGCCACAAAACAATTTCTTTGGCTTATGCTTAGGGTGCCCTAGGACACTGGCAATTACAGTTGATAAACCACACTTATGGCTTAATGTTCAAAGCCTGCCCCAGAAGCTTATTCAAACAAACCTTGGATGCAGCAAACCATGATCTAGGGCAGTGATGGCGAACCTTTTAGAGACCGAGTGCCCAAACTGCAACCCAAAACCCACATGTATCGTCGGGTGCCGGGTGTGCGTGGCCCATTGGGTGGGCGTAGGTGCGGTGGTAACAGCAGACTGGGTGGGACTAAAAAGTTCAATCAATTAATTCCAACTTTGTGAGATCTTTTTTTTCCCCGCGAGAAGTTGAAATTGATTGATTGAACTTTTTTTGTTTTGGCAAACGGCGGCGGAGGCCTAAAGCGAAAAGTTTTTATAAAACCCAGCTGAAGGCCTAGGACTGGGATGACGGTGCGCGTGCCCGCAGAGAGGGCTCTGCGTGCCACCTGTGGCACGCGTGCCATAGGTTCGCCACCACGGATCTAGTGTAATAATACATGAACTCAACCTCAAAGTGCTCCTGGCGACAGATCTCTGTTTACCTCTTGATCCCTTTGACCAGCAAGGAGGCCCAAGGCTGATGCAGGCTCAGACACCAGCCGTTGTCTGAAATCTCCTGGATCTCTCGATCCTGAATTCGTAAGCGATTTCTTTCTGAATCTGCGAGGCTCCCACTCTCTGCAGAAACGTCCATTTTCCGGTATGGGAGCAAGCCAGCTTGGTCCACCCACTTCAATATAATTTAAAAGAGAACAAAAGACATTTTTATACTCAGAATTGTACAACGGAAGATAGGGATAGAAAGGGGGAGGGGGGGTTGACTTGGGCCTAAATGCCACCGGCGTTCCTTACTGTCACTGAACTGAGCAGAAGGAACAAAAGGTAAGTTATTGTGAGGACTTAAAGGCACCTCGTTAGCTATAAAACAAGAAACTGGTTGCCAATGCAGCAATCATATACCAGTTCATCTAGGTTTGTATTCTCTGGCTGAACTACTGTAGGAAAAAAAAAACTAGAAATACTATACAGGCAGTCGGTGACTTGTGAGCACCACAATTTCCATTGCCAAACAAGACAGCGGTTAAGTGAGACAATGGTTTTCCTTTTTTTGGCCACCATTGTTAAGCAAATCACTTGTACGTGTTAAGGGAACCATGAGGTCATTATTGAATCTAGCTTTCCCCACTGACTTTGCTTGTCAGAAGGTGTCAAATGACGATGTAAGCCACTTTTATTCAGGGCCGTCGTAACTCTGAATGGTCACTAAGTGGACGGTTGCAAGCTCAGGGCTTCCTGCACCACAATGCAAAGGAGAAGGTCCAAAGGTGAAATGCATCTTCTGATCGGTTTCACACTCAGCACCATCTGCTTATTTTCTGCTAAACGTGACGGGCAAAACTTGCCACTACGTGAACCCAGACACTGAGGTTTATTCAGTTGGCTTTAGCGTAGCATTATCTGTCAGCCTTTCCGACAGATTTGTTGTTGTTGTTAATTCCGAAGTCGTGTCCAACCCATCGTGACCCCATGGACGACGTTCCTCCAGGTCTTCCTGTCCTCTACCATCTTCTGGAGTCCATTGAAGCTCACGCCTCCTGCTTCAGTGACTCCATCCAGCCACCTCCTTCTCTGTCATCCCCTTCTTCTCTCGCCCTCCATCTTTCCCAGCATCAGGCTCTTCTCCAGTGAGTCCTTCCTTCTCATTAGGTGGCCAAAGTACTTGAGTTTCAACTTCAGGATCTGGCCTTTGGTGATGCCCAAAGCGACGGGTCAGAAGAAAAGTTATATGGAGGGGGGAAAAAAAGAAATCCTAACCCTAGGACGACAATCTCCACAATCTATTCCTGAAAAGACAGACATTAGATCAGGGGTCCCCAACCCCCGGTCCATGGATCAGTACTGGGCTGCGGCATGCCAGTAACCGGTCCACACAAACAAGCCAAGCCCCATCTGTGAGATGCAGGCAGCACACAAAACCACGCACTCTCCGGTCCACGGAAAAACCTCTCTCCAAGGAACCGGTCCCTGGTGCCCAAAAGGTTGGGGACCTCTGCATTAGATTATTTGGGGGGTGGGGAGGCAGTTCATAAGAAGGAAGAGAAAGAAAAATTACTGACGACAGGAGCTGGCTGGAGAATGTGTGGGTTCACCAAGACTCCCAATTCTTCGAGTTTCCCGTCTGGATTTTGCTTCGCCTTGACCAGAGTGCCGCTGCTGATGGCTTCAACCGTTTCATCCAACCTGCAAGGACAACCAGCCAGTTTTCCTCCGATTCCCACGATAGATATTCTCTTCACTCATCTAGCTACGGCTGAAAACGCCCTTCCCAGGCAAATGTGGACCTGTGTTCTTAATGAGCTGCAAATGCTGAGCAGGCATTTGCTCAATTATTTAACAGCATCCTCAATTACCCTGGTTAGCAAGTCAGTAGTAACCCTCTTAAGGGTTTGAGCCTGCTCTTCCGTTCCCCCGCAGGAGCTTTTAGGGAAGCTTACTATTCGGCAGAACAGGATGAATTAATGAAACAGACAAATCCATCATGGCAGCTGATCTTTTCCTATTACAAGGGTGGGACTATCGTCTTCGCTGCCTGCTTATTAGCCCACGGTGTGGTTGCAGAACCAACAGGATGTTATCAGCCTGCTGTAAATTACGAAGGTTTCTATCTGTGGCTGAAATATTAGTCTCTACTGACCCAGCCCAGCAGGGAGAGATGCAGAAAAATAGCTTAGCACAACAGAGTCCAAAATCTCTTTTGCTAAGCAAGATAGGGAAGTGAATTTTGCCCCATTTTCTTGCCACAGTTAAGTGAATCGCTGCGGTTGTGAGGCTGTTAAGCACATCTGGCTTCCTCCATTGACTCTGCTGGTTGGAAGCCAGCGAGGAAGATTACAAATGGTAATCACGTGATTCTGGGACACTGCAACCGTCATAAATATGAATTCGGTTGCCAAGAGTTTAGATCAGTGATGGCGAACCTTTTAGAGACCGAGTGCCCAAACTGCAACCCAAAACCCACTTATTTATCACCGGGTGCCAGGTGGGAGTGGCCCACTGGATGGGCGTGGCTGTGGTAGTCATGGCAGACTGGGTGGGTGTGGCCAAGGTGGGCGTGGTCACCTCGATGTTGCTTGTGGGGAGGGATGCCTGTGGGGGCCGGGCAGGGTTGGGGGAGATCCAGGGGGTGTCTGGCAGGTGGGCAGTGGGCAGGAGGCTCGTCCTGTGGGGTGAGGTGAGGCAGGGTGGGGTGGGGAGGGAAACCAGTCGTGCTGGGATGCATCTGGCCACATGGGACCTTGATGAATTAGCGGGCGGCTAGTTGAAGAGGGACGGTTGCCATCTCTGGGGCATGGCGCACGTGCCCACAGAGAGGGCTCTGAGTGCCGCCTCTGGCACGCGTGACATAGGTTCGCCACCACTGGTTTAGATCATATAACCATGGGGATGCTGCAAGGATGGTGTGAAAAATGACCACGTTTCTTTTTTTTCAGTGCCATTGTCACTAAATGAATGACTGTAAGTCGAGGACTACCTGTATTTGAAGGGGCACAAGTCCTTCCTTTCAGTCATTCATAGAAGACCCTTTCAGGGATGCTTAAACAAGGCTCCATGAATGAATGAATGAATGAATGAATGAATGGAGGAACAGAGAAAAACTCTAAGCCCTTCCCAACAGATCCACTCCCACCCAAAGCACACCCACCCTTTCCAGAAGGACTCGCCTGTCCCAATCGTGACCTTGAGTCGACCTCCCACCCCCCCACTGCCCCAGGATCCTCACTTGCTGTGATAGTCCGCCATGTTGTCATTTTCTTCGCGGACCTGCCGACCCGCAAAGTCGATGGTGACCTTCCTGGACAGCCGCGAGGCGTGCCGCAGTTCGTACAGCTCCTTCGCTCTCTTCTCCAGCACCTGCCTCTCCTGCTTGGACAGCCACTGGTTGGAGTCGGTAGCAAAGTAATCAGACTCGTCGTCAATTACCTGAGTTCGTCGCACACTGTGGGAACAGAATGGAAGAGGAGTGGCACCGTTACTACCATCCACTACGGCAGAGGCCCCCCAAACCTTTTGGGCACCAGGGACCGGTTCCGCGGAGAGGTTTTTCCACGGACCAGAGAGTGCGTGGTTTTGTGTGCTGCCTGCATCCCACGGATGGAGCTTTGCTTGTTTGTGTGGACTGGTTGCTGGCATGCCGTGGCCCAGTACTGGTCCACGGACCGGGGTACGCTCTCAGCATTTGGGAAGCAGTCTTATATCAATCCAGACTATTGGCCCAGAGGCCTCTACAGTCTTCTGAATGGCAGCATCACCCAGGGGTGTTTCCAATCATTTGTCATTCAATCCCTGTAACCAAAATGAAAATTGGGACCCCCTTCACGATATAAAATAGGTGTTCTTTTAATAAACCATGGGTACTTCAAACGCATATTTGATACATGAGGGCTCTCCAACTTTTCAATGGAGTCCTCCATGATGAACTTAGCCAAACCTATTTATTTATATCCTGGCCTTATTGTTATAAAAAATTCAAGGTGGCGAACATATATAATACTTCTTTCTCCTGCTATTTCCCCCACCTGTCAGGTGGGGTCGGCTGAGAGAGAGAGGGGGGGGACTGGCGCAAAGTCACCCAGCTGTTTTTCATGCCTAAGGCGGGACTAGAACTCACCGCCTCCTGGTTTCTAGCTTGGTGCCTTAACCACCCACTGTTTGTTTTCCTGTTCCAAGTTAAAATTAATCGAAGTACAGTAGGATTTTACCCATAATGGACAGTATAAGCAGCCTGGGGCTACAGAAAGAAGCATTTTTCTTAGTCCAGGCGCCCAGGCCCTTCTATCAAACTGCATCACCCACTTGGCGTTCTCCTGTCAAAAGGCAAGTCCAGCCAGCAGAGATTCTCACTGTTAATGATCTGCCCAGCGGGTTTTTTCCCCCCTCTCTTCAGGAAAGCAACTTCAGGTTTTCCATTAAAGGCGACCTGCTGACTTAAAGCTGAAGCCTGTGTGGCTGCTTTTAATAGAAAGCACAAGAGCAAGGCTCAGTGGCCAAGGGTGTAAACTGCAGGTGTGATTCTTTCCAGCACAGCTGTGAACACTGACTTGGTGCCCGCCAGGCACCTCAATTGTACAGGCTAGGTCAGGGGTCCTCAACCTTGGCAACTTTAAGACTTGTGGACTTCAACTCCCAGAATTCCTCAGCCAGCAAAGCTGGCTGAGGAATTCTGGGAGTTGAAGTCCACAAGTCTTAAAGTTGCCAAGGTTGAGGACCCCTGGGCTAGGTAGGAAATCGGGGTGTCAAAATCCAATACATTTTGGAATGTACCATACCCGTATTGTTTCTATTTTTTCCTTATCTCTATAAACTCAATAAAATATTGTTAAAAAAAAAAATCCAATACATTTTGGGAGCCCTCAGCTGGGGAAAGTTAGTCTATTCCTCCTTTTCTACGTCAGGGCTTTTCAACCTTTTCACCCATTGTACCACTATAGGATACGGCAGTATCCGAGTACCACCAGTCGCCTAGCAAGGTGTCAAAAACTTGATGACCCCCCCCCAAAAAAGGAAAAAAGTGATAAAGTACAGGTAGTCCTCGACTTACAACAGTTCACTTAGTGACTGATCGAAGTTACAATGGCACTGAAAAAAGTGCCCCCCAAGCCACAGCCGAGCAAGACACCTGCCTGCCCGCCCGGCGGTGCTCTTCCTCCTGTCCGAGGTTTCCATTGTTGTGAGCATTTCTGTTGAGGATTGGCAGTGGGGGTGGGGTGGGGGGGTGTTTGGTTTTTATTCCCCCCGTCTGCTGGGTGGTTGCAGCAGGTTTTGGTCAGTTCACATGACCCTGGGACACTGTGACCGTCATAAATATGAATCAGTTGCCATGCATCTGAATGTAAATCACAAGACCCTGGAGATGCTGCAACATTCTAGCTGATCGGCGCTTCTTCTGGGCTCAGCAGAAGCACCAGGATCAGCGCCGAGCTCCAGCTGGAGCCTGGCGCTGATCCTGGCGCTTCTGCTGAGCCCTGACATCCCTGCAGCTCCAGCCGTCTCTCGCTCAGGCTTGTGTGGTGCTGCCACTGGTTCAGCTCATTCCCCTCCCCCGCTACCACTTTTCTAGGATGGTTGCGTACCACCTGCCAGGTGCCAATGTACCACAGGGGGTACCCGTACCACTGGTTGAAAAGCCCTGTTCTACGTTACTCGGACACATACCTGGTTTTGTCATACTCCAGCAGTTTGTCTTTGTGCTTCACGGCCATCTCCAGACCTGACTTAAGTCGAGCTTCCCGAAGTTGGAACACGTCTTTGTCATTTATGTCCACCTTTCCAATATTTTCTGCACCTGAGGGAACGCCCCCCCCCAGCCCCAAGAAAAGCTCAATTTAATACAAAGGAGAGGGAAGCCTGACATTAAATGTTTACCTTTACTACTTTTAGGGGGGTGTTTTGTTCTTAACTTTTATAAACAACGATATAGTGGAGATTCTGGCATTATAGATAGTCCTTGACTTACAACAGCTCATTTAGTGAGCAAAGTCACAACCGCCCTGGAAAAAATGACTTGGGACCGTTTTTCACACTTACGACCCTTTGCAGCATCCCCATGGGTCACGTGATCAAAATCCAGCCGCTTGGCAACAGACTCGTATTGATGACGGTCGCAGTGTCCTGGGGTCATGTGATCATCCCCCTTTGGCGACCTTCTCACAAGCAAAGTCGATGGGGAAGCCAGATTCACTCAACAGCCGTGTTACTAACTTAACAACTGCAGTGATCCACTTAACAGTAACAGGAAAGCTCATAAAACGGGGCAAAATTCACTTAACAAATGTCTCACCTAGCAGCAGAAATTTCGGGCTCCATTGTGGTCGTTGAGGACTGCCTGACTGTTCAAATATCTGTCTATTCATAGATAACGTTTTTGCAAAATATACCTTTGGTTTACTAATTAAAACAAAAGGATTATAATACAAAATAAGAATAAATCGTGCCAAGAGTACTGTTGATGCACTTCTTAAAAGAGGGAAATGTACACCTCTATATTTATGTTCTATCATTGTTCATGTTTTTTAAAAAACACGTGCAGCTAGAGCAGTGGTGGCAAACCCATGGCACGGGTGCCAGAGGCAGCACTCAGAGCCTTCTCTGTGGGCACACGCACCGTCTCCCCAGCCGCCTCCTCCCATGGCCCCCTCCTCACCAGCAACTCCCCCGGAGAGTCGCCCCTGGGCGCAGCCCATGCGAAGCAGCGCAGCCAAGGACATGGTAGCCGGGCAGCGGGGACAAGACTCTGCCCTTGTGCCCCATCGCGCGCAGATGATGCTGCGGGGCATGGGCGGAGGGCATGGCTGCCATGGCGCTGCTGGGCTGCCTGGGTGATCTGTGGCAGGCCGTGGAGATGGTGGGTGGCCCAGTGGGTAGGGTGGAGCGGGAACGGGGGTGGTGGTGGTGGTTTTTGGGCACTTGGTCTCTAAAAGGTTCACCATCACTGAGCTAGACAATCAGCCCAGATTTTTGACCACTGCAGGGTCCCCTCATCACGTGATCGTGATTTGCAACCTTCCTTGCCAGCTTCCCATAAGCAACGTCAATTGTCCTTCAAAAAATACCAACCTCCCAACAGCTTCTTTAACAGCTTTTGACTCTTATTGGAATCCCGCTGCAAGACATCCTGCTCTTCTTTGGTGCACACCTACAAGAGGAGAAGAAACAGCAGACTGAACTTAAGTCTTCCAACTGCATGTACAGTGGGAAACACCTTTGCTCATTGTTATCCGTGCATAATTTATCCGCTATTAAGATGGCTCTCAAAACTGTACCTTCATCTCCATTTGATGTGAACACGTTTTTAATTAAAATGAAGCAGATTAAAAACCACAAAGCACCAAGGTAAGGCTTCACTGCCTTTTAATGGTCTGTGGTTTCGTCCTAGACCAGTGGTGGCGAACCTATGGCACACATGCCAGAAGCAGCACTCAGAGCCCTCTCTTTGGCACACGTGCCACCACCGCCAGCAGCAGGTGCATCAGGCCACCACTGCCGCCCGGAGCAGGAGCCCCGCCCAGCACAAAGGAGGTGAAGCGGCCGACTAGCAAGCTCGAGTAGAGATGGTGGAGCAGAGGTCACCAACCATTGTTGATTGGTGGACTGGAAGAAAAGGGAGGGGGAAGCATTTTACATGCATGCATGCGTGCATGGGGCCACGAGCACACACATGCTGCAAATGGGGCGGGGCTAGGACCTGCGTGATACTCACTAGCCCTGCCCCGTTCTTGCATGGTGCAGCGCCTTGTATCTGCACCCCATGGCATGGCCGTTTTTGTGCTTGCAGCACGGTGGCCCATTTTTGCGCCCCCGGGTTTTGCGTGCCAGAGGCGGCACTCAGAGGTGCCTCCCTGCCCCCCCATGAGGGCACCACAATGCTGATGCGGCCCTGGCACTTTGCGATAAATAAGTGGTTTTTGGGTTGCGGTTTGGGCACTCGGTCTCTAAAAGGTTCGCCATCACTGTCCTAGACACATTTCCTGACTGTGTTATAACTCAGTGTATGTGGCCTCTCTAGTTAGGAATACATTTCTCTATTTTTTACCAGCATATATGACTGCTATGTTACAGTGGGAGCTTCTGTGCTGTAGGCAAAGGAGATTTGGAGTTATAAAGAGGTAATTTCTTTCTTCTTAGTGTTAAATGTGTATTTAAAATATAACCTAAAATGTAATCTTTCAAAGAGGTTTATCCTTAAAACAACAGCCTTGTGTGTATATATATATATATATATATATATATATATATAAAAACCTACAGGGAATTTTAGCATACCAGAGTTCCACAGAATAGGCAAGGCCCAGACCCCTCTTGTTCACAAACGATCCGCCCGCACGTCAAACAGTTGTTGATGAGCTTGTGCTTCTGGGCCAAGCATTCACAGGAATGGCGCCCTGGGAGCATGACAGCCAGCTTGTCCTGGCCTTCCTTCGTGTACAAATTAACGTATTTTGCCTTCTTCTTGGAGGAAGAGGAGCTGCTGCCTCTGGGGATCTCCTGGGCCTGTTATTATGGCGGAGAAAGAGGGATAAAATGAAGAGAGGAAAACACACCAGAGACCAGATGCACTATCACAGACAATATGTGTGTGTAGATAGATAGATAGATAGATAGATAGATAGATAGACAGACAGACAGACAGACAGACAGACAGACAGAGATATAGATGGATAGACAGACAGACAGACAGAGATAGATAGACAGACAGACAGACAGAGATAGCCAGACAGACAGGATAGATAGACATAGACAGACAGACAGACATAGATAGACAGACAGACAGACAGACATAGATAGATAACCTCCTGAATTGAAATTGGTTCCCCATTTTCCTGAAAGATATGCATTATTTTCACAGCAAAATAATGGGTAAACATTATTTTATATTTATTAAAAACAATTTTAACTACTCATCCATCCAGGGTTTTGTGGTATTTGGATTAAGTGAGGCCTTATTATGCACCATGAAGTGCAGTGGCCCCTTTAAAAGCACTAAGTGAAATAATTATAATCAATTGCATAAAAAAAGGACTCCCAAATGAATGTGTTCTAATAACAGTAGACACCAAACGCACCTACCTTGGCTAAATCAAGCGGTGTTTTTACTTTCTCTACAGGCTGACAGGCTTCAACATAAATGGGTGCTTCCTGTTTATTTCTCCCTTTATGCCTTCCTCTCTTTGTCTGGTCTCCTGGCCGAGGTGTATCCAAAATATCTAAAGAACAGGAAAAATATAGCAGAAACTGTTCTTGGTCCAGAGTTTTTCCTCGCCCTTCTGCAAATATCTAAATCTTGGTTTCCCCAAATGGTTAATATCAAGTCCCCCCCCTCCCCAAGGATCAATGGGACAATCCAAAGGATTGATAAACGCCTGGGGGTCAAAAGGGGAGCAGTAAATATCTGGAGGTCAATAGATCATCAATAAATGATGGGAGGTTGATTGGGGTCAATTCATCTTTTGGGGTCTCTGTAGAACTCCATGCCATTCCCAGTCCTGAAGGTGAGGTGGCTAGTGGCAAGAGTGTTACCCAGCACTGGATGGTCAGCCACCAGCAAGACTAGCCTTGAGTTGTCTCTGTTGTTGTTACTGTTATCATTGTTGCTAATGCTATTATAGTAGTATTTATTAAAGTTGACAATTTAACAATGATTTGTTAACATTCTCTTTATTCCTGAACACATTTTTTTAAATCTCATTTTCTGCTCCCACTCACCATCTTTTTTCTGATGCAGCGGCAAAGGATCCAAAGTTGTAGAAAGGGATTGTTTCCACCTTGCTACAAGCTCATCTATGAAGAACTTCTTCTGGCCATCTCTCCCTTGGATCAAGTCGGCGACATACTCCCGAATCTCTTCCTCATCCTCGATAGACAAAATATATCTAAAAATATACAGAGGATTATGTATAGGTGCCTATGAAAATACATTCTGGGGGGGATTCAAGATTGAGAAGCATTGGCCTAGACCAGGGGTAGTCAACCTTGGCTCTTTTATGACTCGTGGACTTCAACTCCCAGAATTCCTGAGCCAGCCATGCTGGCTCAGGAATTCTGGGGGTTGAAGTCCACGAATCATAAAAGAGCCAAGGTTGCCTACCCCTGGCCTTGACTTTGTTACCAGGATCTCTTATTATTGTAATGATCATTGTTACGTTTACTTGCAAATGCCCACAATCACACAATAAGGCATTGCATGAATGCAGTGGTCATTCTCACAGACCCAGGCACAATTACCCAAGGCTGTCCCCTCACTGGGTTAAAAGGCCGGGCCGGCTTCTTCCATGCCCCGCACCTGTTGAACTTCTGCCTGTTGCCCAAGGGGCAAAGCAATACCCTCGGTATGGCAACTGGCGTTCTTGCCCTGCCGGGGCCAAAGGAAGCCAAACGGCAAGGGGGCAGGCCGGAGGGCCATCCCCCCGGGCCCCCGTCCCGAGGCAAGCGGGGAGGGTAGCCCGTGACGAGAGGATATAGCGGGGGACGGTGGCTCTGCCCCGCTTCCCCTTTGTCCCCGGCTTCCCAGCTCACTGGATAATCTCCTCGCTGACATCCAGCCCAAAAGTGCCGCGCAGCTGCCCCATGCACCACGACACGAGGGCCGCCCCCGCTGCCGCCGCCATCTCCGCTTCTGACAGCGACGCCTTCATGACGGGGGAAGAAGAAAGCGGGTGCACACACAAAGACACGAAAAGCCGGCCAGGCTTCGCCTCGGTGCACCGCACAGAGGCGCCGGCTGGGCAACGGTGGCCGCGTATTTCTAGTTCCGGTGCTGATCCCGTCTAACTACAGCACAGCGACCTCGAGGTTAGAGCAGGGGTGCTCTAACGTGGCCACTTTAAGACTTGTGGACTTCAACTCCCAGAATTCCCCAGCCAGCCAGCCAGCAAGTCCACAAGCCTTAAAGTGGCCTAGTTTTGGGAGCCCTGGGCTAGAGGATTATAAGAGCAGTTAAGGCTGCTGGGGAGTCTCAGGTTTGGTCTGATTCCTGTTTAGTTCTTGAAGCAAGACAGACAAACAGCCACACACCCACACAACTTGACCAATTTCATTGGGGATGCAAAAAGGAGAGTTGTGTTCAGGGGAGGCACTGAACCGTGGCAAGAAAGGACGTAAAATGGGGCAAAACTCACTTAACAAATGTTTCACTTAGCAACATAAATTTTGGGCTCAATTGCAGTCATAAGTCAAGGACTACCTGTAATTAAATAATATACTCAACTGAACTGAAACTAAAACCATATTAACCACTGAGCCTTGATGAAGGCTGCAGATGAACACTAGAGGGAACTAAAGGATTAAAAGAATAAAAATAGTTAAGGGCAGACAACTCTTTTTTTTTCTTAAAAGCGTTTATTTTAAAATATAGACTGAAATATTAATAACAAATGTCTCAGAAAGGATGCAAATGTCTATGGGTAAACTTTTAGAAGATAAGGAACAAGACTTTACTTCGACATAGATGTTATAGAGTATGAAAGCATGGAAGATAACAAAAATGAGATTATCAGCAAATAACAAAAGTCAAAACTAGAAAAGGTCCAGGATATGGGACAGCTGTTACAAAAATCCTGGACATTTTGTGGTTCTGTTAGAATGTAAGTAAAAGGTTAACCAGCTCCTTTTTTTTCTTTTTTAATCAGGAACCATTCGGAGAGGGGGAAGGCTGAGAGGGAGGTTGAGGAGAGATAATTGTTAACTGGGGCAGAATACAAAAAGGGTGGGGGAGATAAAAGCTAACTAACATCTAAAGCAGAAGAAATGTTCAGTTAACCCCTTATGACAATGGGAAGAGTAATTCTGTAAGAAATTATGGAGAGGTTTTATGGCTGTAACACAATACAGGACGTAATACAGGTAGTCCTTGACTACTTACAACAGTTCATTTAGTGACCGTTCAAAGTTACAACTGCACTGAAAAGGGTGACTTATGACCGTTTTTCACAGTTACGACCACTGCAGCATCCCCAAGGTGATCAAAATTCAGATTCTTGGCAACTTGTTGATGCTTAATGGGGAAGCCAGATTCACTTAACAACCGGATTACTAACTTATCAACTGCAGTGATTCACTTAACAACTGTAGCAAGGAAAGTCGTAGAGTGGGACAAAACTCACTTAACAAATGTCTCGCTTAACATCAGAAACTCTGGGCTCAGTTGTGGTCATAAGCTGAGGACTACCTGCAAACGGTTTCTTTTTATCTGTTGCTAAAGAAAATTTGGATCTCTTACATTCAACTTATCCTGCAAATACGTGAAAGAATAAAATGTAATTCTACCTTCTCCCAAGATCACAAAGGAAATAATAGATAAGAAGGGCTGGCAATATTCACAAAACGGGTGAATATAAGACCAGATGAATTCCATATATGAACCCTAAACCTATCAGTTTTGGTGTAATAAAAGCAGAAAGAATAAAGAACATTTATTTCCAAAAGAAACTTAAAATAAGTTATGCCACTTCTGTTCAAATAAAACTGGGTTTTGATACACGGGGTGTTTAAAACTTGGTAAGCCAGGGACTCTGCCGATCAATGTTCCAAGCAACATATTTTAAGTTGCTTGAAAATTCAAAAACAGGACATGATAGTTATTCCAAAGTGGGTAACCTGATGCAAAAATACATACCCCCACACAAGAAACCCTCCCCCCTTGCCTTCCTGGATCCCACTCCTCCATAGATATTAAGGCACATAAAGCAGAACAAGAATCTGACCCCCAAAAAGTATAAAGATCTGAGCTGACAATGCTGGAATTTGCAGGAGAAAAAAACAAACGAAAATGCAGCCAAGTAAAATTGGGCACAGGAAAGAAACAAAGAATCTTGCAGGATTTAGAATAAATGCATTTGAAGAATAATCCAAAAGAACAGGAGAACCAGAAAGAAATTAAAAAGACAAACCAAAAATTTCTCTCCTCAGTTCTTACCTTCACGTTGTTTCTGGACGCCTCTGAAGCAACTGTTTCTGTATCCTGCAGGAAGTGAAGAAGAGTGCTGCAGTCTGCCCCTTAAAAATGATCTTATCTTCTTTGAGAACCTTGAAATAAGCAAAGGCAGTTTGCTTTTAAACCTTTCAAAAGGAGATTGCCGACTCCAAAAGGTTAAAATGCAGAGCGAAGGGCTTATCTGAGGTCTTGAGGCAGCTATTGGGCAATGTGGAAAGCAAAGGGTGTTGCCCACGGTTGTTCCCCTTAATGAAAATTGTTTTCATTAATAACTGAAAGCTTGGATGCTGTCCAAATATTAGTACGCTAAAGACTGCTCATAACTGAGTTCCTTTTTTTTTAAAGGTCTTTGTGTTCATCCTTTTGGGGTTTTTTATTGATTATTGTCTCTGAATAGGTCTTTTATTCTTGATTGTTTTATCTCATGTTGTTCTATTGAATCAAAACATCTTAGTAGAGTTGGATAGGATCAGGAAAGTCCGGTGTTTCTCAAACTTGGCAAATTTAAGAAATGTGGACTTTAACTTTAAGTCCCTAAGGGTCATAGCTTACATTTCTCCCTCTTGAAAAATATCTTTATTTTCTCATCTCAGTCTTCCAACTTGCCCAGATTAAATTGCAAATTCTGTTATCCTGGTGTTGGCAGGACCACCCAATGTTGTGTCATCCACAAACCTGAAAATCAGCACATTAATCCTATGATCTAGATCCGTGGTGGCGAACCTTTGGCACGCAGAGCCCTCTCTGTGGGGACATGCACCGTCGCCCCAGTCCTAGGCCTTCAGCTGAGTTTTATAAAACCTTTAAGCTTTAGGCCTCCGCCGCCGTGTGCCAAAAAAAAAGGTTCAATCAATTTCTCACGGGGAAAAAATAGATCTCGCAAAGTTGGAATTGATTGATTGAACTTTTTAGTCCCACCCAGTCTGCCGTTACCACCACAGCCACGCCCACCCAATGGGCCACACCCACCCAATGGGCCACGCCCACCCGGCACCCGATGATACATAAGTGGGTTTTGGGTTGCAGTTTGGGCACTCAGTCTCTAAAAGGTTCGCCATCACTGTTCTAGATCATTTTAAAACAAACTATTTATTTATTATCGTGGTTTTTAGTATCGCCTGTTCACCGCCCTGAGTCCCGCAAGGGAGATAGGGTGGTATATAAATTTAATAAATAAATAAATAAATAAATTCATAAAAATGTTGAGTAATACTGACTCCAAAACATGTCCCTATTAGACCCTCCGTGTTTGTGTGTGAAATATATATTCTACTTTAGACTCCTTTGGGGGAAGGAGGATTAGAATAAAAATACCTAACATTGATATTAGAGCCGCATCACACAATTCACAACGGCTAAAAACAACCATATGGATTGGCAAACTAAAATCTTGGTTGAAACCAATTATTTTCTCCAGGAATTTGAAAAAGAGAAAAAGGAGTAAAGAAACCAAACTAACAATCCCCAAAATCTCAAAGTCAAAAGAAGCAGAGGGAAAAAAGACATATACTTGGAATATGTAAGTAGACATCCTCATTCTCTTCTTGCGAACCAGCCCCTTCTGACACCATCCCAACTTTTCTGTAATGGGGTTCGTTATTCATCTCCATACCGATTAAATTTGTCTCATACCTCAAGGCCCAACCTTGAGATATAAAATAAATTCAACTTTGTAGCATCAAAATCTCCTCCTGCCTAAAAATAATTCTTTGTAGTTTTCATCAAAAGGAAAATGTCTCTTTTTTTAGAAAAAGTTGAGTCCCTAAGCTGTGAATATTATACAACTTTCCTGCTAGGACATTGCTCCATTATTTATGACTAGAAAATGGCTGACTGCAGATTGCTGACTTCTTGCAGCACTTTTATTGTTATACCCAAATCTAACCACAACCAGAAAAGCTAACATAGCCTTCATAAGTTTTAGTCTCCAGGCCTTTAATCATCTTAGTTCCTCTTCTCTGCACTTTTTTTCAAAGTCTCAGTATCTTTTTTGTAAGATGATGATCGAAACAGGATGCAGTAAATTTGGAAAATTGGATGAATTGGGTGAACCAGCAGACATTTTGCGCAAACCCAGCTCCCCTATGGGATTCTCATTACATAATGCTAAAACTCAGTTAATGGTGTTGGGAATTTCTAGGGAAACTTCCAAGCTTGCATTGTTACTGTTCTTTTTTTTTTTTTAAGTAAGTCTTAACAGACTTGCAATTGTCTATTTTTTGGGGATGTGCTTATCAATACTTACTGGAATGGACCACCCAATGACTTAGATCATCCTTCATAAAATGTGTTTTCCCCAAATTGACATGATCAAACCAACAAAGACATTTTGTTTATTTGTTCCCAGAAGCAGTTTATTGCAATGATTAGCCAACTGTTGGAGAAAAAGGCAGTGGAAACCTTTGCTATCAAGTGGAAACACAAGTATAACTTTTAAACATAGAACATCAGGAAATTCCTGCCGCTTTTATTTATCTTGTTGGCTTCATGAACAAGGGAAGCACTAGGATTCAGTTGGACTGTCTATACTCAACTTCCTTTTACTGAAGCAAGAAAACAATTGCAAAGAAAATAAAAATGTATTTAGAAAATAAATATTAGACAATCACTGTATATTCCATTTCCTATAAGCATTTATCTCAGGCCTGGGAAGATGCTTGTGATAGATTTCTCAATCAACAAATTAACCCCAGTTGTTCTTGGCATTTTGCTGCTGGTGAATGACAATGGAATTCAAGTGGCTTAACATCAATTAAGCTTTGAGGGTTTTATTACTATGATAATGGATAGAGTTGCAGAAGCAAGCTGTCTTTTATCACTTTCAACCAAAGTTTGATGGGTTTAGATTGGCTGTATTGTAAATCTAATTAAGTTGAGCTTTGATTGGATGTGGAATGGAACTGTTTACTTTTCCAGATAGGTAACAACAACAAAAAAGGGTTTAAGGAGGTGTTTATTCGGTAATTAGTAGGGGTGTTAAAGATAAGGAATGCATTCTCTTTGTAATTGCAGATTTAAACAAGGGGATTGTGCTTCTAATTTATACCCCATTTTCCTTGAGATTTATTTAGCATAGATGCTATTAGATCTCTACAGGATTATCCTTGGTATGCATGTTTTTTTCAGAGTAATATCTCACTAGCTGACTTCGTATAATACACTGGGCTAAAACATGGTTAGCTAGTGCAGCACTGCACAAACTCAGCCAGCGTGGTCAGTTCATAATCTGGTGTATTACACACTTATATTTTTCATACCCTTGGATTCCATTCTTTACCTGATTCCATTCTTGACAACTCCTAGAGAGGTGGACGCGTCGTGCGTTGTTCTCCTTTTCTTCATTTTTTTTCTTTTTTCTCCTTTTCTTTAGATTTGCTTGTTACTTTTTATGTAAAATCTTCAATATATAATAACTATATTTTTTTTAAAAAAAATCATAACGTTCAGTTATGATTGCCCGCCTAGGCGGAGGCGCCCTTCCCTCGATTCAGACCCAGAGGAGCCCAATCAAACTTCCCCCGATCCGGTTCCTTCGACCTGCGGCGGCCCGGGGCTCGGGGATCCCACCTAAGGGCGATCCCGGTCGGCGAAGAGAGCCAGACGCGGCCGGAGTTTTGAACCGCGGGTGAAAGTCGCGGGCTGGCTCGTGATTGGCCGCTCGCCTTCTCCGCCTCGGCCAATGGGAGCGCGGCGCGCGCGCGGGAAGCCCGAATATTGCGGCAGAAGGAAGTAGCAGCTCGGCCGCTTGCTAGAAAGTTGCGCCTTTTGCCTTTTATTCCGCTTTCCTTTCCTTTCCTGGTTTTATTCCTTTTTCTTGGGGTTTTTTTTGGTGCGGCGGCAAGGGACGGGCATGGTGCGGACCAAGGCGAACAGCGGAGGCACCGCCGGTGCCTATCGGAAAGGTAAAAGCATTTGCACATGCTTAACCGGGGTGCAGAATTAACCGGGATGCAGAATTAACCGGGATGCAGAAGTGAGTGGGATACAAAACTAACCGGGATGCAGAATTAACCGGGATGCAGAATTAACCGGGATGCAGAAGTGAGTGGGATACAAAACTAACCGGGATGCAGAATTAAGTAGAATACAAAACTAACCAGGATGCAGAATTAACCGGGATGCAGAATTAACCGGGATGCAGAATTAACCGGGATGCAGAAGTGAGTGGGATACAAAACTAACCAGGATGCAGAATTAAGTGGGGTACAAAGCTAAGCAGGATGCAGAATTAGCCCAATTGCATAAGGCCTCCAGCAATTACCTGCTTAAAAAGGTTAGGTTCGCGCATGATGGTTAGCCAGGTAAAAAAGAAAGAAAGGTACAGCTAACCCACTTAAGCAGTGTGGTTTGTAGCTTCCTGGTTAAAAGAATGGTGTGAATTGTCATATTTAAAGCGGCTGCCTTGCATTCCTCCATTTTCTTTCTAAATGGGATGGATTTTAACTACGTTTTTAGGCCATTAAGCCGGATTAAAGACACAGCAAGCTGTAAAAAAAGGCAGCTGAGGTTAGCATAGGGTGCACAGGCCCGTTAGGTTGTCAGCTTGACCATGTTGATTGACTGCTGGGGCTGGGTGTGTATTGCAATTCCCAGTGCAATCCCTTTGGAATGTAGAAATGCTCTTATTCAAGGTAGCCCTACTTTGCATGGCTGCTGTGGAGGTAAAATACACAAAAGTCAGCCTCCTTAAAGGGAATGGGGTGCTGACTTTTAATTCAAGAAGACCAAAGATAAAGGGCTTGTCTTGGGCTGCTTTCACACAGCATGGAGAATGGCATCCAGTCAACTTCCATTAGCTTAGACTGGAAACACCCTGGAGTAGGGCACATTCAGCCTTCTTACCGTTTTAGCATCTGCATTTTTTGATTGTCCTACTGTGTGCGGAATGACAGAGGAGCAACTGGTCTGAGGCCTTCGGACTTTATGGAATCTTTAAGTATAAATAATCTCTAATCCTTTTTTTGTGCCAGTGGTAGCTGCTAGGGCTCCGCGGAAGGTGCTGGGTTCTGGACAGGCGAATGTTAGCTTGTCTCCTACATCAAGGAAAGGTGAGTGTGTATCTCTGACTGGCTTTAAATGCTCCTTTGGACAAAGGCTGAAGGCCGATGGTGTTTTTCAATTTAGAATGGCTCTGCAAGTACCTCGACTTACAACCACAATTGAGCTCAAAATTTCTGTTGCTATGTGTGATCTTTGTTAAGTGAGTTTTGCCCCAATTTACGACCTTTCTTTCCATAGTTAAGTGAATCACTGTGGTTGATAAATTAGTAACCTGGTGGTTAAGAGAATCTGGCTTCCTTATTGACTTTGCTTGTCAGAAGGACACCAAAGGGACACAGCAACCGTCATAAATATGTAGCAGTTGCCAAGCCTCAGAATTAGGATCCAAGTTGCTTCCGAGCAAAGCTCGTAACTTGAAAAATGCTCATAAGTCACCTTTTTTTCAGTGCTGTTGTAACTTTTTTTTTTTTGAAACACATTTTATTGGTTTTTTTAATTCTTAAGACAAAGTGCTCAGGACACACCGTGGTGTTGGGGTAGTCAAACATGCAAAAATAAAACCATATATAAATCAACTTGATACATTCAATGTCCCCTCTCTATTTCCCTCAAATAGCATAATACGTTTAAAATATTCCATTTCTAATTTAAATTTCTATAAATGCTAAGCCTGTTTTAAAACTTTGTGAATTTACAATTACCATAATCATATTTAACTTTAAATCAACAAATTATCAATTCAGGTATCCCTTCCAGATATATTCTAATTCTTAATCTCTCACATCCCTCATTTTATGCTGTTGTAACTTTGAACCAGTCGCTAAATGAACTGTTGTAAATTGAAGGCTGCCTATAATCCGTCTGAAGCTCCACTTACCTCCTTCAAGGTGCTTGGTTACTTTCCTTCAACATTGTTTAAACCAGGGGTCTTCAAACTTGGCCCTTTTACGAGTTGTGGACTTCAACTCCCAGAATTCCTCTGGCTGAGGAATTCTGGGAGTTGAAGTCCACAACTTATAAAAGGGCCAGGTTTGAAGGCCCCTGGTTTAAATTAACAACACTATGCTGCAGCTGTTTAATCTAAAGCTGCAACACAGCAGGGCTGCTGCCAAATATAACACGGTTGCTGGGCTTTTCTGACATTCTGCTGTTTCTTCTGGAGTAAATATATTTGAGCTGGGCCTAAAATATTTTGCGCTTTTAATGTTCTGGGCTGAATTCCTCAAATGTTTTAAAAATAAGTAGCAGCTCCACATACACTTCCATGAGAGCAGATCCTCGAAAACTGCTGATCTGATGCATTCTGGCACGCTTGCATTACATTTTAGCAAAGATGGCTTGTTTTAAGTAACTAGAGATAGTTTGTGCATTTAGAGATTTATCCATATGGGGGTTAGAAGCCTTTGTAGCTATTATTGGTTGTCTTTGATTTACGGCCACAATTGAAACTGGAATTTAAGTCGCTAAATAACACAGTCATTAAATGAGTTATCCTGTTGCCAGACCTGACTACAACTATTTTCACCATGGTTCAAGCAAATCACAGGGCTGTTAAGTGAATCTGGCTTCCCCAATTAACTTTGCTTCTAGGAGTTGGCTGGGAAGGTTGCAAATTGCCATCAGATGATTGCAAGATGCTGCAACTGTTGTAAATGAGAGAAGGTTGCTGGGTGCCTGGATTGTGGTTGTGTGACCCACACGGGATGTGCAACAGTCAACTTTGAGGACAGGTTGCAAATCACCTTTCCCGGGGCCATCCTAACTTCCAACTGTCATCAAACAAATGATCGTACATCGAGGATTATGATATGTAAATTGGATATGTTGCTTTTTTCTTTGTTAGCTGGGCACTGATAAATTCTGGTTTGCTTTCTACAGCTGAAAGTAAGTATGCAGGAGGCAATCCGGTATGTGTGAGGCCAACTCCACCCTGGCAAAAAGGAATTGGAGAATTCTTCAGGCAAACGCCAAGTCGCCTGGAAAAGGAGAACCACAACTCGGAGGAGGAGCCCGGGTGCAGCGAAATAGGAAAACGCAGAAAGAAGTAAGGATGGCTGTCTGCGCATTCCTAGTGGCAAAACACCTGCCACAGTAGCCAAGGTTTAATGTTCTCTAGAAGAATTGGTGAAACCTGTTTTCAAACTTCTGCCTCACTTGATCTAACCATTTTAGTTACTGCTCAGTGAAATGACAATTCACTAGCCTAGTTCACTCAGTACAGCATGAGTTTGGGGGAAGATGTCCAAAACGGATTTTTATTAGGCATTAGGGGCAAAAGTTTTGGGAAACTTATTTTTTCATAGTGGGGCCACGCAGTGACGCATTGTTTCATTGCTTTTTGCAAGTGATTTTAATAATAATAATAATAATAATAATAATAATAATAATAATAATAATAGTTGGAAGGGACCTTGGAGGTCATCGATTCCAACCCCCTGCTCAGGCAGGAAACTCTACACCATTTTGGACAGATGGCTGTCCAGTCTCTTCTTAAAAACTTCCAGGGTTGGAGCATTCACTGCTTCTGGAGGCAGGTTGTTCCACTGGTTAATTGTTCTGTCAGAAAATTTCTCCTTAGTTCTAAGTTGCTTCTCTCCTTGATTAGTTTCCACCCGTTGCTTCTTGTCCTGCCTTCAGGTGCTTTGGAGAATGGCTTGACTCCCTCTTCTTTGGGGCAGCCCCTGAGATATTGGAAAACTGCTATCATGTCCCCCCTCATCCTTCTCTTCATTAAACTAGACATACCCAATTCCAGCAACCGTTCTTTGTATGTTTTAGCCTCCAGTCCCCTAATCATCTTTGTTGCTCTTCTTTGCACTCTTTCCTAGAGTCTCAACATCTTTTTTACACCATGGTGACCAAAGCTGGATGCCGTATTCCAAGTGTGGCCTTACCAAGGCCTTGTAAAGTGGTATTAACACTTCACCTGATCTTGATTCTATCCCGCTGTTAATGCAGCCCAGCACTGTGTTGGCTTTTTTGGCAGCTGCAGCACATGGCTGGCTCATATTTAAGGGATTATTTCCAGCATTGCCTAGATTCACTGACCTAGATAATAGAATTTTCGACCTGTCCTTTGTTTCAGTAGACCACGTTCTGAAATCTTTATTCATGGCAACACAGAAAAAAGGAAGTGACTGTGTGACGAGGGAGATTAGGTTGCTAATCTGACTGGAAAACAGATTCCAGTTCAAGATGAAGGCTGCATGCCTTTACAATATTTTTAGTCTCTTCTAGTCCCAGTTGTTGAAAATACAGGTTACTGGAATTTTAAAACTCTGAATGATTGCTGACTTGTATTTCCTTTCCATTGACAGAGCACGTCCTTTGCCTCCTTGTCCTTCAGAACAGGAAGAATCTGAAGATGATCAAATGTGAGCTATCCTGCTTCTGGCAAGCAGATCTTGTGTGCTCAAGAGTGTTATGTATAGGCTGTATATATATATTGCATATATTCCGTTTGAATTTGAGCCTTTATGTTTATAAGCATCTAGCATGCTATTCTGTTGACTAAAAAGTGGACAGACTAAAAAAAGGGACAAGTCATTGATACAATGCTCTTAATACTTAAGTGTTTTAATGATTCTTAACTAGTAACTACATGCTTTGTATTAAATCTCGTTTTGCTGCTTTATGCACTTCTGTGCCATATCGGTGTTAAATAACATCCTTATGCTTCTGTAAAAAAAAGTCTATTTGATTGTTGCTATGCTGAATACCGAGTTTTTTCTGTAAACTAGAAAATGCTGAATAATTCTTTTGGATTTAAAAGAAATAAGGCCCAAGAAATGTACCTCATTACAGTGGCGGAATCATAGAATTTCTACATGGCTCTGTATAATAGCTCAAGTAGGCCAAATTGTGGTACGAAGGCAACACGAAGCACAGAACCGCTGATATTAGAAATAACGTATTAATGCTTCTAAAGATTTTCCAGTTTGCTTCCATCTCTGTTTTGCGGCACTGGGGGTGGGGTTTTCTAGTTAACCAATTACTACATTACTTGTAATTGTGGAATTGGCGTAATAAAGATACAATGCAGAGTTTTATAGAATTCAGCACAGCTATTCTTGCTTTCTTTGTAACTAGTTTGTCTATGTGCAGACTACAGTTAGTTCTTAAATGATGATGGATTATGAGTGTTCATACTTGTATCGAATTTTGTGGCAGCGGGAAAGATGGAAAAGAGGTTCATTTTCAACATATTCCGGCCCAATATTCTTCAGTTGTGTTGAGATTAGAGTTTCCAGAATTCCCATTATCTCTAAAGGCCATTGCGTTTGAAGTCAGAATAAATCTTTTCTGCTCCTTTGTAAGCATACAGAGAGATGCTATAAGTTTCTTAGCTTTTAATGTAGGATGAGATTCTTACGAACTCAGCAAAACTTGTGCTTATGAAATGTTTAGGCTGAAGTTGAGCAATGTTCTAATTAAGACCCTCTGAAATGCCACAGTGATGTCTGTGGGGTATTTCCAAAAAGTCAAGATGGCCACGTTATTTATTTATTTTTTTAAAAAGTGGGATTCACATTTAAAAAGTTGTCTCTTCAGTTGGACTATTGTGGCCATCATCTTGGATGACGGAATAATTCTTGGAATTGAGGTCCACCCATCTTTAAAATTGCCCAGGTTGAAAAATCCTGCTCTGAAGCATGATTGCCTCAGAGGACACTTGATGCACAAACGCCAATCTTGCGCAAACAGTGGAAGCCAGTGTGCAAGATGGATAATTTGCATGACGACAACACTTGTGGCGTGCAGAGCTACCTCTCCCTCGCCCAGCACCCTTTATTTTAAGGAGGAGAGCCTAGCACAGATTTGCCTCGGTCATCCTGGATATTCCCCACTTCCTGGGATTTCCCAGTGGTCTCCCATCCCTGCTCAAGGCAGGGATTCCTTTCCAGGATCAGCGCAGAAACAAGTCACGCGTCTTCTGGCTGAAGGAAACCTTCCCGCCGCCGCGCGCCTGCGCAGCCCCGTCGCCTGAAGCCCCGCCCTATTCCGCTTAGCAACCGGACGCGGTTGCTAGGGCGCGTTCGGGCCGGACGGGCCCCGGAAACACTTTTGTGACGCGCGCCTCGGGCCGGCTGGCGTCTCTCCGATAGGGCGCCGGCGGTCGTAGGGCGTGTCCGCGGGAAGCGCTTCCGGGGTGGCCCGCTCCCCCCCCTTTAGAGCGCTGAGCGAAGGAGGGGGCAGTGGCCCCGGGTTCGCGCCCCCTCCCAGCCGGGAGAAGCGGCTTTTCCTCGGGACGGTAGGAAGGCCGAGCGCCGGCCCGCCTCGTGCTGGCTTTCTGGGCGGGGGCGCCCGCCGTTAACTGTAGCCGACGGGAACGCTCGCGAGAGAGGGCGGGAAGGGGGTCGCTCCTCGCCCTGCGCTGCTGAGGGGGCGCCCCGCAGGCCCGGAGCTGAGGGGGGGCACCCGAGTGGGGGGGGCTCTTACCCTCCCCTCCCCCGCCTCGGGGGCAGAGCCCTCCGGCCATGCGGAGCGTTTAAACGCCGGCCGGGCTGTCCCTCGCCTCCCCCCCCCTCATTTTGGGTCGGGGGTCGCTCCTCTCCGAAAGCAGCCCCTTCCCCTCATTTCCCCCCCCCCAGGCCCGGCAGCCTCTCTGTGTGGCGGGCTCTGCCTCGGCTGCGACCTGGGAAGGAGACAAAGGAAGGGAGAGGCAGGCGAAGCCCCCGCCCCAGCCCTTGTCGCGGCCCGGGCGCTGCACGTCTGAACGGACACGTGGAGAGCCCGCGGGGGGTCCGCGTGGGGAGGCTCGGACGAGCATCGCCTCCCTCCTCTCCCATCCCCGTCTGTGGGATGCCTTCCCGTGGGTTGGCTCTGTGTGTGTGTGTGTGTGTGTGTGTAGGGTGGGGTGAGAAGGCGAGGGGTCCTTGGGGGCCTCTGAGCTTGGCTGTTTTCTTGGAGACGTCTCCTTGTTCCTTAGCCTCGTTTGCAGATGCCCCCCCCTCCCTGCTGGCACTGATGGTGATACCTAGTGGGGTGGTGAAAGGTCTGCCCGGGAAAGCCCAAGGAAGCTCAAGAGAGCAGCAAGGACTCCTCCACGTGTCTATGGAGATTCTCACATACGCAGGTCACATATGTTGGTCCCAAAGGTGCTTTTTCAAAAGGCAGCCGGACTTCCCTAAGGTTTTTCCTTGAAGACGTTTCGCTTCCCACCCAAGAAGCTTCTCCGGTTCTTCTGAGGAAGCTCCTTGGATGAGAGGTGAAAGATCTTCCTCAAGGAAGGAAACATGGTCCCAGTTGCCTTTGGAAAAAGCACCTTTGAGGCAGAACTCCACAGTTCAACCCCGAACTATAAATTCCCTTTTCTATTGGAAAAGAAAGTTTCTGTCTTCTCTTGACTCTCCACATTGGGCTAGGAACCTGTTTACGCCTGAAGTTTGAATTGCAACTGGGATAGGATAACTTTTAGCATGGGCTCCCTCTGGGACAAGCCAAAGTAAACCCTTTGTAAGGATGTAAGCACCAAAGGAACGTGGTTTTTTTTTTTTCTTTTTTACTTTCGGGTTTCCTCTTTGCGTCTTCTTGATTGCCTTGTTTTTCTTTCAACCTGGATGACTCAGTGCTTAAAGTGCAGTGGGTTTATTACGGTCTGTAGCTGAAAAGGATGATCTTTTTTTTGCAGTACTTCTCTCTGTTGGACGTAACTCTGACGAAATTCCTTTTTGACTTTTGGAGAGTTAGGTTTGTTTGGTAAATATCCATCTGGAGACCTTGCGTCCACAAATTAAAATGCTGCGTATGAGGTTGTTGAAATAGGTACACTTGAAAAGAGGTACAGACTAAAATAAGGGGAATGTTAAATATAGTTGACTTGGAAATAATGAATTTCTCAAATCAAAGAAATATTGTTGTGTGAAAGAATAAACACAGGTTTTGAAAGTGGAGCAAAGTATAAGTAGTAATTTTTAAAAGAAAATCCTAGATTATACCTTTTGCTGGAAGTTCAAATTTTCATGTAGATACAAAATATCTTTAGGTATTTCTGAGGAACTGTACTTTTAGAACTAAGACACATTTGTTAGGGAAGCTTGCTTTTCAGTAGCAACTGATATAAATACTTTGACACTGAAATGTATTGTTTTGCTTTGGTATAATTGTTCCATTTTAATTTCCTGGTACTCTAACACAGTCATGATATGTCTCTTCTAGACGATGTGCTAATCCTTCCTCCAATTCTGCACATATGGAACACCACTTCTTCCTGTTTGGCAGAAAAAAAAATCTGCAACAGATAATTGGTATTTTGACAGTCTGGTGTTATATGGACATATATATATGCCTTTGATTTTGGAGGAATGTGATTAAATGTTCTTAAAATTATGGAATACAATTTTATGAAACACTTGGACTTATAAATTACTACAATAAAGATATTTATATAGCTTCCTTTTAAAATACTTCTTGATAATAAATATTTATGGAGATTCTCAATCATTCAGGTCATGATTGTCCCAAAGTTGCGGTTCAAAAGTCTATTGGGCTTGGTTTTTCCTTGAAAATGTTTTACCTCTTATCCAAGAAGCTTCTTCAGTTCTTTATAATATATTCACCACGACTACGGATTACAGTGTGGTATAGTCATATCCGTTCAGTCAGTAAGTTGGGAATAAAAAGAGGAGAAATATTGTTTATTAATCTCTGTTATTTAGGGGTTACTCAGGGCAGAGTAAAATCCAGTGGTGCTTAATTCTCCTTTCAGCCTTTTTGCACTATCAATTTCTCCTGTAGCTACTTGTTTTCAGCTTCTCAATGCTGTTGCGTGGGCACAGCTATGTGCCACTTCCATGGCAACCATCTTCGGTTGTTGACTGTTCTTCAAAATTGGTGGTAAATCTATTCAGATTAATTGAAAACATATATAATTGATATGTATTGATGAGTCGGTGGTTGCATTAGATCATGGTATTTACTTAGTAATTCATTTGAAATGGATGCATCTTAATATGCTTAGTTGGCTCTTTGATTTCAGAACCAAACTCTTAAGAGGTTATAAACTCTGTTCTTTCCCCCCCCCCATTAGTTTGATGTTTATATAAGTAATTCCAAATATAACCCATCAGCAGTTTTCTATTCCTTGCTTACTGTAGTGGCATTAATTATCTGAATGTATTTCTGGCACTTTTTCTTTTTGCTTTGTGGCAGTTGCATTATATAGTTAATAATATATCATGGGATACTCAACTGATTTTTTTTAAAAAAATAACTTTAATATTCATCCAGCATACATTTGAAATGTTAATATGATATAGGACAGAGTAAAAAATATTTAATTGGCATTAAATTGGTCCCAGTAATGAGTGATTTTCTATTTGTGATACTCAAAATATTGTCTCCCCTAAACAATCAGGCAGTGTCCAAAAATTGCTGTAATACAGAATGGATCTCAGATGTTGTTCCTTAAAAACAAAAAAACTTGAGTTTCTGCTTAGGTCCCAAATTTTGATATGTTTAATGCATCAGAATATTTAACTTCTTTTATTCCAAAACACCTCTTTTGTTTTAAGTCACACTTGACACCAAAAGATTAAACTGTTTTGTTTTGCTTTCAAGGCAAATTTCTTATGAGACCACACAGTTCAGACTTGGTTGAAGCTGAGTTTTCCCTCCGTTTTCAATGCTGCTGGCTTGAATAGGAGTAGGGGGAAAAATCGCTTCAACATAAAAATATTAGCCGTTATAGGTAGTTATCTATATGTACAGCTCAGATGTGTTATTTCTGGCATATTTTTTACTTCATGTTTTTGTATACTTTATATATTTTCTTTTGCCAGATGATTTACAATCTTACCCATTGTTACTTACTATTTTAAAAGACAAAAGAGGGGATTCTGGATTATTCAGGGCAAAGGTGCCTTTCCTTAATGGTCCTGACAACTGCCACTACTTTTCCTGAACTCCTGTAAAGCTCATTGTGTTATCACAGCCACCTAAGTTCCATGAGGTTCTTACATTCTAGGGGGAGTGTGTAGTGACTCAGTGTCAGCCAGCCAGATTGGTTTCACCACAAACATGTAGTTGGAACAAACAATTTTGGGGGGTTGAACAGCAAAATGCTTTTATGCCTTTCCTTTCCAGGCCAGGTAGGATCCTATAATTAGGTTACAAGTAAATCACAAACCTGTAGTATTAGGGATCGGTAACTTCGACATAGTTTGTTTTGGCTGTCTAGTCCAGGGCTTTTCAACCTTTTCACCCATTGTACCACTTTTAGGTTATGGCAATATCCGAGTACCATCAGTCGCCCAGCAAGGTGCCAAAAACTTGATGACCAAAAAAAAAAAAAGGAAAAAAGTGATAAAGTACAGGTAGTCCTCGACTTACAACAATTTGCTTAGTGACTGTTCGAAGTTACAATGGCATTGAAAAAAATGCCCCCCAAGCCACAGCCGAGCAAGACACCTGCCTGCCCACCCGGTGGCGCTCTTCCTCCTTTCTGAGGTTTTCATTGTTGTGAGCCTTTCTGTTGAGGATTGGCAGCGGGGGTGGGGTGGGGGGTGTTTGGTTTTTATCCCCCCCCCCCGTCTGCTGGGTGGTTGCAGCAGGTTTTGGTCNAGGTCATGATTGTCCCAAAGTTGCGGTTCAAAAGTCTATTGGGCTTGGTTTTTCCTTGAAAATGTTTTACCTCTTATCCAAGAAGCTTCTTCAGTTCTTTATAATATATTCACCACGACTACGGATTACAGTGTGGTATAGTCATATCCGTTCAGTCAGTAAGTTGGGAATAAAAAGAGGAGAAATATTGTTTATTAATTTCTGTTATTTAGGGGTTACTCAGGGCAGAGTAAAATCCAGTGGTGCTTAATTCTCCTTTCAGCCTTTTTGCACTATCAATTTCTCCTGTAGCTACTTGTTTTCAGCTTCTCAATGCTGTTGCGTGGGCACAGCTATGTGCCACTTCCATGGCAACCATCTTCGGTTGTTGACTGTTCTTCAAAATTGGTGGTAAATCTATTCAGATTAATTGAAAACATATATAATTGATATGTATTGATGAGTCGGTGGTTGCATTAGATCATGGTATTTACTTAGTAATTCATTTGAAATGGATGCATCTTAATATGCTTAGTTGGCTCTTTGATTTCAGAACCAAACTCTTAAGAGGTTATAAACTCTGTTCTTTTTTCCCCCCCATTAGTTTGATGTTTATATAAGTAATTCCAAATATAACCCATCAGCAGTTTTCTATTCCTTGCTTACTGTAGTGGCATTAATTATCTGAATGTATTTCTGGCACTTTTTCTTTTTGCTTTGTGGCAGTTGCATTATATAGTTAATAATATATCATGGGATACTCAACTGATTTTTTTTTTTTTAAATAACTTTAATATTCATCCAGCATACATTTGAAATGTTAATATGATATAGGACAGAGTAAAAAATATTTAATTGGCATTAAATTGGTCCCAGTAATGAGTGATTTTCTATTTGTGATACTCAAAATATTGTCTCCCCTAAACAATCAGGCAGTGTCCAAAAATTGCTGTAATACAGAATGGATCTCAGATGTTGTTCCTTAAAAACAAAAAAACTTGAGTTTCTGCTTAGGTCCCAAATTTTGATATGTTTAATGCATCAGAATATTTAACTTCTTTTATTCCAAAACACCTCTTTTGTTTTAAGTCACACTTGACACCAAAAGATTAAACTGTTTTGTTTTGCTTTCAAGGCAAATTTCTTATGAGACCACATAGTTCAGACTTGGTTGAAGCTCAGTTTTCCCTCCGTTTTCAATGCTGCTGGCTTGAATAGGAGTAGGGGGAAAAATCGCTTCAACATAAAAATATTAGCCGTTATAGGTAGTTATCTATACGTGCAGCTCAGATGTGTTATTTCTGGGATATTTTTTACTTCACGTTTTTGTATACTTTATATATTTTCTTTTGCCAGATGATTTACAATCTTACCCATTGTTACTTACTATTTTAAAAGACAAAAGAGGGGATTCTGGATTATTCAGGGCAAAGTTGCCTTGCCTTCTTCATGGTCCTGACAACTGCCACTACTTTTCCTGAACTCCTGTAAAGCTCATTGTGTTATCACAGCCACCTAAGTTCCATGAGGTTCTTACATTCTAGGGGGAGTGTAGTGACTCAGTGTCAGCCAGCCAGATTGGTTTCACCACAAACATGTAGTTGGAACAAACAATTTTGGGGGGTTGAACAGCAAAATGCTTTTATGCCTTTCCTTTCCAGGCCAGGTAGGATCCTATAATTAGGTTACAAGTAAAATCACAAACCTGTAGTATTAGGGATCGGTAACTTCGACATAGTTTGTTTTGGCTGTCTAGTCCAGGGCTTTTCAACCTTTTCACCCATTGTGCCACTTTTAGGATATGGCGACATCCGAGTGCCACCAGTCGCCCAGCAAGGTGTCAAAAACTTGATGACCCCCCCCCCAAAAAAGGAAAAAAGTGATAAAGTACAGGTAGTCCTCGACTTACAACAGTTCGCTTAGTGACTGTTCGAAGTTACAATGGCACTGAAAAAAGTGCCCCCCAAGGCACAGCCGAGCAAGACACCTGCCTGCCCACCCGGCGGAGCTCTTCCTCCTGTCTGAGGTTTTCATTGTTGTGAGCATTTCTGTTGAGGATTGACAGCAGGGTGGGGTGGGGGGATGTTTGGTTTTTATTCCCCCGTCTGCTGGGTGGTTGCAGCAGGTTTTGGTCACTTCACATGACCCTGGGACACTGTGACCGTCATAAATATGAATCAGTTGCCAAGCATCTGAATGTAAGTCACAAGACCCTGGAGAGGCTGCAACATTCCAGCTGATCGGCGCTTCTTCTGGGCTCAGCGGAAGCGCCAGGATCAGCGCCGAGCTCCAGCTGGAGCCTGGCGCTGATCCTGGTGCTTCCGCTGAGCCCTGACAGCCCCGAAGAAGCGCTGATCCTGGTGCTTCCGCTGAGCCCTGACAGCCCTGCAGCTCCAGCCATCTCTCGCTCAGGCTTGTGCGGTGCTGCCACCGGTTCAGCTCATTCCTCTCCCCCGCTACCGGTTTTCTAGGATGGTCGCGTACCACCTGCCAGGTGCCAATGTACCACAGGTGGTACCTGTACCACTGGTTGAAAAGCCCTGGTCTAGCAAATGCAGGCGCCCTCAAATAATAGCTTTTTGTCTTAATCTTCCTGACATTTTTTTTTGCGTCTAACAACTTTGAGTCATTTGCTTTTGATACATAAGAAGGACCCTGTTTTGATTTACCTTCTTTCTTCCCAAATTGGATTTTGATCTTGCCCTTTTTGTACTTTCTGCCTCTGCAGGTAGCGTAAGGTTTTCCTCTACCTCGCTGAGGACTCAGTGACGTCATCCCCCGGACCTTCCGTGACAGTGCCTGCCCAGCCTGGATATGATGCCAAAAGATCTCCAAAGTATTTTATAGTTTGACCCAATGATTCTTCTGGATCTATATTTCTCTCTTCAAGAATAAGTGCAAAGACCAAATCCTACTTAACTACCAGATATTTTTTATTGCAAGATCATGGACCATATTACTAGGGAGAAAGATGAAAGGCGAACAGGGAAAGCTAATCCAGGAAGAAGCACGCATAGTTCTCGAGCATCAAGTTCCACTTCGGCGGCCGGAGTGCTCATGGTCGGGCCCAATTTTAGGGTTGGCAAGAAGATCGGCTGCGGCAATTTTGGGGAGCTCAGGCTAGGTAAGAGCATGGCAGGTTCGGGAGCTTCCAGTTCTGGCTAGCAGCTGGTCCTTGTCTTACGAACACAACTGAGCCCCACATTTTTGTTGCTAAGTGAGACATTTGTTAAGCAACTGTAGATCCATTTTACCACAGTTGTTAAGTGAACCACTGCAGTTGTTAAATTAGTAACAGGGTAGTTAAGTGAATCCGGCTTCCCCATTGACTTTGCTTGTCAGAAGGTCACAAGAGGGGAATCGCATGATCCCGGGACACTGCGACCGTCGTAGATGTGAGTCAGTTGCCCAGCGTCTGAATTTTGATCACGTGACCACGGGGATGCTGCAACGGCCGTAAATGTGAAAAACAGTCATAAGTCACTTTTTTTTTACTGCCGTTGTAACTTCACTAAATGAACTGTTATAAGTTGAGGACTACCTGTAATGTGATTATTTAGAATAGGGGTCCCCAACCTGTGGGTCCTGGCCAGTGGCCGTGGCCAGTGCATGCATGTGTGTGCGCACACTCACACTGACCTCGTGAAAATGGGTCACCACGGCCTAACGGGACGTCATGCAAAAAAATAGGACGGGGCTAGTGTGTGTCACATGGGCGCTAGCATTGCCTTGTTTGCATCAGTGGGCGCTAGCGCAGTCCCGTTTACGCATGCATGTTTGTAAAATGCTTTCCCCTTCCTTTCCCTCTGATCCACCGAGAAAGATTTAAAAAATATTGCCAGGGGGAATGCATCTCATATTTATACAAAGGTAGTCCTCAAATTACGAGCCGATGGGGACCAGAATTTCCATTGCTAAGCAGGGCAGTCGTTATATGAGTCATGCCTCATTTTACAATCTTTTTGCCACGGTTAAGAGACCATGTGAATCCAGCTTATCCCATTGACTTTGCTTGTCAGAAGCTGGCTGGGAAGGCTGCAGATGGGGATCACGTGACCCTGGGAATGCTGCAGCCCTCATAAATGCATGCCGGTTGCCAAATACCCAAATTTTGATCACATGACTCTAGGGCTGCTGTGGTGGTCATAAGTGCAAGGATCCATTATAAATAACTTTTCCTAGCGCTATTGTAACTGAGTGATCCTAAACACATTAGGATCCAAGACTACCTGTACATATAAAACATGGCTCGTAGCAACATTTTCCTTTCTTCACCTTTTGCTAAAATGCATACAGGCATCATATAATACATACATGTAACACATGTTTCTGACTTCCTGTTTGTTCAGTTTTAATGAACTTTGGTTTAGAATTCTTGACATTAACTGGGACTTTTGTTGCTTGGACGACACCTCTACTGGTAAAGTTTTTTGAAGAATAATTCTTTCCTGTATATCTGTATTTACTTTCCAAAGTACATAGAATAAATTTTAAAGATTGAATAATTAATCTCAGAAGATGGATTATTGAGGATCACGTGAATTGTAAACAAAAGTTGATAGTAGAAAAAATAAGCTATTGAACCTTTTTTAAAATTTTTAGAAAACCCTAACAGCTAAAAATAACAATTTGTATGTCCTGGTTGGTATTTGAAACACATTTATCTTTCTTTTGCAGGCAAAAATCTTTACACAAATGAATATGTAGCAATCAAGCTGGTGAGTAGTTTTGTGGTTTTTAAAAATTTCTGCATAGTGAAGGTTAACCAACAAGACAATTTTTTGTAGCATCCAGCCACATTTATACAGCCATCCGTCTCACAAATTTGACTGAGTGGCAGAAAATAAAACTTTACAATAGAAAGGTCTTGCTTTGAATGGCTGTGTGTGTGTGTGTGTGTGTGTGTTTCAAACTGGAAAACAAATTTGCAAAATTGATTGAATGTATTCCTGCTCCTACATTGTAATTTAGTGAAACAATCCACCATTAAAAAAAATCAGTCTGTTTCATTGTTTTGTGTTTTATAGGAACCATTAAAATCTCGTGCCCCACAACTGCACTTAGAGTATAGATTTTATAAACACCTCGGCTCATCAGGTGAGACCTCTTTCTCCTAGGAGTTAAAATAAATTGTGGCGAAGGGGTGGGATGAAATTAGGACTTACCCAACCATATATTTGAAAACCACAAATACCCTAGATATCAGAGGTGCAGTTTTTAGCAGTGGTAAATGTAGTGCATATCACCAGATGCAAGACAGGAGCCAAAGTAACATTTGCTGTACCCCAAAAATCTTCACAGTTGTATTTTTAAAGTAATATCTCTCCACGTCGCATTCATCGACTGATTTGAAACCTGGTGGTACCTTTGAAAAGTAGCTGGTGATTTGATTCAGTTTGTCCTAAATGGGAAAAAAAAGTAACCTATCTTAGAGGCTATCTACCTAGCTCAGGGGTAGGCAACCTTGGCTCTTTTATGACTCATGGACTTCAACTCCCAGAATTCCTGAGCCAGCCAAGGTTGCCTACCCCTGAGCTTGCTCTATAAGCCATCATCAAATTTAATGAATTGAATTCTGCCCGTGACATAACTGTGGTCAAGAATGACTGCACTGGCATAGGTCTAATTCAAAATTTGGGGTTCCCCATCTCTTTTGAAAAGGAAAGACCAAATGAAATGTGTTGATGAAGAAATCTGGGATATATTTTTCTAGAACTTTTATTTGGGTGGCCCACACCAAAGCTGTGGTTTTGAGGGGTTTTTTTGTGTGTGATATCCTCTTGATATAGTGTAGTTAATTTTTTTTCTTTGTATTTGTTTCAGTTGAAGGCTTCCCACAGGTATTTTATTATGGTCCATGTGGAAAATACAATGCCATGGTACTGGAGCTCCTTGGCCCAAGCTTGGAAGATTTGTTTGATCTCTGTGATAGAACGTTCACTCTGAAGACTGTCTTAATGATAGCAATTCAGCTGGTGAGTAAAGGAACAACTTCACGTTTGTGTAAACATCCTCCCTTCTTCCAACACAAAGTATTTCCAATTACAGTACGTATAGAAATAGTTCCAATTACAGCCTCTTTTTTTGGCTCTTATGCAAACTTTCCTTTATAAGTTTATTTTGATTTTATTTAGCTAGCATTGAATCAGCAAAGAGTTTCCAAAATGGAGCTCAAGCACATAAGAGAGCACTAACTAAGCCAGGCTACTAGTTTGAGTACAGGTGTTTTGTGGCTAAGATTTGTGGCTGCATCAAATGAGTATTATGAACAGAAATCAGATTATGGGCAATGGCTTTCAAACTGTTTACTGGGGACTGTTAGATAGTTTGGGGCATGTTGTGGCCTTTTCTTGGTTCATTTGGTGTAACAGTATAGGACAGGAGTGTCAAACTGCCGGCCCGCAACCAGCCCAATACATTGCGTGATGTCACGTGACGTCGCGAGTTTGACATGTTTGGTATAGGACAATAATTTAATCCAGCATCTTTAATGAACAAAATGCGCAAGCCAGAACAATTTCTTTGTGTTCTTTACAAGGTAGCTTTTTAAACTGATTATGATCTACCTAGCTTATATTTTCCATTTCCTTTAGCAGCTAAATAAAGGAATGCATTTTCACTGTGGCAAAAAAAGCATCTTGGTATATAAAGCTAGTAGGTATTTCCATAACTAGTGAACCTGCTCATGCAAACTTTAATTCAAAATCCTAGTCCTGAACACTTAGCAAAGGATTTTTAAGAGATCTAAGAGATCAGAGATCTAGAATAACTTACAGTTCCGTCTTTTTATAGATTACTCGAATGGAATTTGTGCACTCAAAGAATCTCATTTATCGAGATGTCAAGCCAGAGAATTTTCTCATCGGCCGGCAAGGAAGTAAGAAAGAACACGTCATCCACATAATAGACTTTGGATTGGCCAAGGAGTACATTGATCCTGAAACACAAAAACATATACCTTACAGAGAACACAAGAGCCTTACTGGAACAGCAAGATATATGTCCATCAATACACATCTGGGCAAAGGTTTGTTCGGTATAATATGCTGCATTAACTGATAGTTTTCTGGGCTGTTTATATCATGCAAACATGTTTGGGAGCTGTTAATTTTCATATTGTGACTCTCTTTAAAATTAGATAGCAATATGACTTTGGCATGCATGCAATAAATATGACTTTACATTACTAATGCATGTCCTTGCATAGCTGTTTATCAGTTGGGATTGAGCTAGTGAGCCAGCATTTTCAAAATTGTTGTCTAATAGGAAATGAGAATTACTAGTGCTGTTCTTCAATTTTTCCTATTCATCTCCTTCTGCAAGCAAAATAAACCACAGTAGCTTCTTCTGCCATTATTCATTGTGACACATGAACTGAAATATTGTGCTTTTCCACACATTAGGAATAAAAACAAAACAAGGATAAATCAGGCTTTTAAACCTATTTATATTAAGAGAGGAATAAGTCAGGTGTTCACATTACCCAATAAAATAAAATAAATCTGAGCAAAGGTAAGAAATAATGATAGTGCCAAACATCTGGAGAACTCCAGATTGTCCAGCTTAGTTTTAACACAGATGTGTTCCATTTGAATGTGAGAATGGCTGTCTGGGGAATATGAAAAATAATTCTGTTGTTGTACATGTAGAACAAACCTTTACTAAACCAGTAATTTCTCAGGCTCCTTGTAGATACGTTGCTTATGTGTCTACATATTTATGTACTGTATGTCTTCTTCTCACTGGAGTTAAGTTAATTACTAGGAATGTAATTACTAGTGTAATATGATTAAGATGTTAGAGCAGTGTTCTGTTTTCTTCCATGTTTTAGAACAGAGTCGACGAGATGACTTGGAAGCGCTTGGACACATGTTCATGTATTTCCTTCGAGGCAGTTTACCCTGGCAAGGCCTTAAGGTAGATGCTAAAATGTGTGCTTAATCAGTTGGGTTTTGGCAGATAGTTTCTGTGTTAATTATGTGCCTCTTCTGACAATTTATTTTTCTTTTAATCCTTTGGAAAGAACCTCTCACTGTCAACATCCAGGTTTTGCCCTACCTAATTTGATTTATTAGATTTGTTACGGTTGGCCATTCTAGAAAACTCTGGGTGGCTTACAAAATCCCAGAAAAGTAAAACAAAAAAAACAAAAAAAACCCACAATTATGAATGATCGTAATTTTCCCAGCAAGTTAAAAGGAAAGATAGTGTACAGAAAGTGGACCGATTTTATTTTATTTTGCAGATGGGGAAATTTAAATTACTCTTTTTTTTTAGTGTTGGTGTTAAAAACAAAACTTACTGAGTTATGATGCAAATAAAGATGTATCAGATGACATGCAAGGACTTAGTTAAAGATTGTTCCTCTGGTTGCTTCACCTGACCTTCTCTCCAGGACCACATCTTACATATTACGACCCACTATTAGTTTTTAAAATTAGAATCTCTGCATTTCACAGGCTGATACACTGAAAGAGCGATACCAGAAGATTGGGGACACAAAGAGGAATACTCCGATTGATGTTCTCTGTGAGAACTTCCCAGGTAAGTTTCAGTTCTGGTGGCTTATCGTTTCTGTAAATAACTCCTTGAAATAAGAACGATCCAGTGATTTTTAGAAAGTAGCTAGTATCGAAAAACATGCTAGTATAAAAAATATGTGCATACCTGGAAACCACAGTTTAATACACGACTATCTTTAGAGTTGGCCACAGATTTCAATTACACTTTAAAATCCGACTTTTTCTTGAACCTGTATGAATAATTACTTTCAAACTCCTGACATCTCAAATGCTTATATTAACTAGGCAGATCTTATCAAAGTTTATCAGGTTTGTGACCACATGACACATTTTGCAATCTGCTTCCCGTTGGATAAAATGTTTTTGCAGTTGGCTTACAGCCACACACCTAGGTGTTTCTGTCCTCTAGCAGGCTGCAGTGAATAGTTTGTGCTGCCTAGGCTAAAAATAGCAGATTTGATATGCTGGCTGGGGGATTCTGGGAGCTGAAGTCTACAAGTCTTAAAAGTTGCCACAGTTGGACACCCCAAGTATAGATGATACACTTGGATTAAAATACATAGCAAGTTCCAGGTGAAGTGCTCAAAGCCTACTTTCCTTGGAGCAAACAGATGAAAGGCATTCTTGATGCTTCTCTTAGATATTTTCATAGCTTCTGGTTCTATCAACCTTTGTGCCAGTGGCCAGGATGGGCCCTGAAAAACATAGTTGGTGTAATTCCAGTCTATCCTCCACGTTCAGTTCTGTATCTGCCAGAAGATGGCTTCTTGGTCGCCGAATTTGAAACTGCGCGTGAAACTGCTTTCTAAAATTGGAAACTTAGACTGTAGTGCTTGAAGCTCTCTTCATCTAACCAAGGGGAAGAAAGAAGAGATCTGAATGTGTGTAGCAAACAGTGATTAAATGGGGGAGGGTCCCTCTGAAACTTCTTTAGAACGTGAAGTTCTATCAGCTTACTTCAGTTCTTTTAGAAACGATGTAACTCCTGGCAGAGCCTTGCCTATCTCTGCTCTGAATCACCTGGTTTTTTTTTATGACTTGGACTTTCTGTTGAGTTCAGCTCTTTCAGTCTGGGCTCAACAGCCCATCAGTGTAATAAATTCACAATATATGTAGGTTATAATTTGCATCCCAGCAGCACTCAGGCTATTTAAAGCAAGCAGACTGCATCTCCTTTATCAGCCCTGTGTGTGTGAGTGTGAAGATACACCTGCATTAAAATCCATTAAGTCTATAAATTTCTGCTTCAGCTTGAGTTTTTGAAGTGACCGTTGGCTACGTATTTGATCTTTATACCCACCAGTGCCTTTGAACGGAGAACAATACGAATAAAAGCCCTCTTTCCAGATGTGGGTGCCTACTAATTGTTTTGCCAGTTAGTCCTTTTTCCTAAGTCTGCAAATATTTCAGTTATGTACTTAAGGAAGCCCTTTTAGAGAACCGTGGCTTGGTCGCCCATCCAGGCCACAGATTTGTTGATCTCACCTGCCTCTAGTAAACTGATAATTTAGGGGGTTTAATCTGACCAGGAGGTAACGCTGAAATGTATTCTGCTTCTACTTCTTTCTGAACAGATTGTCTGATGTTGCTTCTTCCTAATTCCCTTTAACAGAGGAGATGGCCGCTTACCTTCGTTATGTCAGACGACTAGACTTCTTCGAGCGACCCGACTATGATTACCTGCGAACGATTTTCACGGAATTATTTGAAAAGAGGGGATTCGCCTTCGATTACGCCTACGACTGGGTTGGCAGACCAATTGTAAGTTGCAATCCTGTGGCGTCTGCGGTATCTTCCAGAGGGTTCTCTTTCAAAGCCAGTTGGACAGAGCGTCATGGTCTCGCTTATTTAGAAAGCAAGATCAAGGCTACCTGTACAGGTAGTCCTCAACAATTCATTTAGTGACCGTTCGAAGTTACAACAACACTGAATAAAGCGACTTACGGCCGTTTTTCACAGTTACACGCTTTGCAGCATCCCCGCGATCACGTGATCAGAATTCAGGTGCTTGCCAACTGACTTGTATTTATGATGGTCGCAGTGTCCCAGAGTCACACGATCCCCTTTTGCGACCTTCAGGCAAACAGCCAAAGGGGAAGCCAGATTCGTTTAACAACCAGGTTACTAACTTATCAGTTAACGCCATTTCTTTAACAATGGTGGCAAGAAAGGACGTAAAATGGGGCAAAATTCATTTAAGAAATGTCTCACTTAACGACTGAAATTGTGGTCGTAAGTCGAGAACTTCCTGTGTTTTGTCTGGAGCTTTCCAGCAAACCTAGGTGTTCATACTTCTATTTTTCTTTTCAAAAGGTTCCCCCCCCTTTTGAATGGGGGAAGTGTTACGTTGTTTTGTTTTGATTGAATGGGATTCACGCGTGTCTTATGTTTTATTTTCCAGCCCACTCCGGTGGGACCCATGCATGTGGAATCGGGACCCTCCGTGATCAGAGATCCCCATTTACATCGGGATCGATCCTCAGTACAGCCTTACCGAAATCAGGTTGGTTCACCTTATGCCTTAATGCTTTAAAATGTGCCTCCTTTTTTCCAGTCTGTCGTTAATTCCCAGAGGGACACCTAGAAAAGCCAAGGGCTGTCATTGGCCTTATTAATGCCGCTCTTCGTTTTTGTCTAGCAAGCTTTCTCTTAACAACTCTGCTCTGGCTGCTTTTGGGAGGGCGTGTGTGGATATGTCTTTAAAAGAAGAGTAGAAAATACTCAGGTCTCCGATGCTAGTTGGAAGAAATGACAGTCTGAGAATAGAGAACTGCAGAATTGCTAGCTCACCTTTGGTTTTAAAATGTACTTGAGTGCATTATTGTGAAAATGATGGGTCTTTTGAAGTGGCTTTCCCTCTACAGGCTGAAATGCAGGGCCATTCATTCATTGCGCCCTCATTGTTTGTTTTTACTTCACTGATATGCAGTAAAGAATCAAGATAGCAAGAGAATTAAAATCAATAAATATTCGAACTACGCCAGCAACAGTGTTTAGAAATAACTGACAATCAGTTGACAGAAGCACTGACATAATAAACAGGCTAAGCTCTTTCTAAATACCAATATATTTATAAAACATACCTCTCAGATCTGCAGACTGTGGTCGTAAGCCGAGGACTACCCTGTATATAGATTTCTTTTCTGATTTTAACCGCAGGGAATGCACTTCTGCCTTGACTGCCTTGTGCCTTTAGGCAGCCTTAGGAATTCTGGGAGTTGAAGTCCACAAGTCATAAAAGGGCCAAGTTTGAAGAGCCCTACATTATGTGATGCCACAAGGAAGAAGAGCAGGTTGGGGACAAAGCATAGCTGGCTGGGGAATTCTGGGAGTTGAAGTCCACACCTCTTAAAATGGCAGAGGTTGTGAAACACCGGTTTAGCTCTTTCTGAGTTAGCATTATTTCCCCCTCACATTATGTCAGGGGTCTTCAAACGTGGCCCTTTTATGACTTGTGGACTTCAACTCCCAGAAATTCCTCAGCCAGCGTGCCTGGGTGAGGAATTCTGGGAGTTGAAGACCACAAGTGATAAAAGGGCCACGTTTGAAGACCCCTGGTCTAGTTTAATGAAGAGAAGGACGAGGGGGGGGACATGATAGCAGTCTTCCAGTATTTGAGGGGCTGCCCCAAAGAAGAGGGAGTCAAGCTCTTCTCCAAAGCGCCTGAAGGCAGGACAAGAAGCAACGGGTGGAAACTAAGCAAGGAGAGAAGCAACCTAGAACTAAGGAGAAACTTCCTGACAGTGAGAACAATTAACCAGTGGAACAACCTGCCTCCAGAAGCGGTGAATGCTCCAACACTGGAAGTTTTTAAGAGGAGACTGGACAGCCATTTGTCCGAAATGGTATAGGGTTTCCTGCCTGAGCAGGGGGTTGGACTCGATGACCTCCAACTTTATTATTATTATTATTATTATTATTATTATTGTTGTTGTTGTTGTTGTTATTGTTATTGTTATTATTAATGTTATTGTTGTTATTATTATTATTATTATTATTAATATTAATATTTGATGCCTGAAGTGCTTTGCTTCCCTGTCCCTCTTGAGCTTTTCCACATGCTTGCTTGGTTCCGCTTCACCTTTTTGCCTTCCCTCTTTGCTCTCTTTGCTTTCCTGCATGCCGATACCTGGGCAGCCTATGTCCGAGCGCAGAGAGTGGGAAATTCCAGCAGTCCGGCAGGCCAATACTTTGTTTCTGACCTCTCACTTGGCTACCGACCGGCACGGGGGATCTGTCCAGGTATTGCTTATTTTTTTTCTCCTCTCCCGCACAGCTTTTTGGCCATCGCTCCTTGGGCATGTGCAGGCTCCCCTCCGTCTTTTAGCTGCACCGTTTGGCTTCCGCTAGAATGATGAGGGTGGGTGGGGCATGGCATCCGAAGTGTGTGAATGCCAAAAGACTGAGAACTTAAGTGCGATATGTCAAGGTTCCGACTAATGAAACAGTTCAAAGAACTTCCAGGCATTGTTTATCCTAAAAAGTCTTTAATTGTGTAACAGAGTGTCGGCACAGCATGGAGGATGCCAAGATCTGAATTCCCCTCCCCAGAGCACATAGTATTCCAGTCTATTTCCCTCCTCTTTTTTGCAGTCATAAATCACGTTCTCCAATTCGTTTGAAGGGCAAAGTTTCCCTTCCGTTCTATCTTAAAACTAATCCCCACACACATTCTTTCCCCTCCCCTCCCAGCATCATCTAATTTAACTCTAAAAATACCACACAGCTTACACAGAGAGCGGCTGCCTCTTATATATTGTCAAAGCAAGAACATCCAACGTTAGCAGCGTTGACACGATATTGCTATATTGCCATGCGGATTCTTTAGGAGAGCCTCTCCCAATCTGGGCATCTTCCACAGATGTGGACTTCAGCAGGGTTCCCAAGGGAGACCAATCTGGCTGGAGAAATCTTGGAATTAATCCACATCTGGAGGTGGCTCAAACTGGGGAAAGATTTTTAGGCAGGACCTAGAACACAAACGCTTTATCCAAATCCACCTTCTCCTCCTCCTCATGTAAGGAAGGCCAGGTCTTGCGTCATATGGTGCAGGTAGCCTTCAACGTGCGGCCATTTAGTGACCAAAATTACAACGGCACAGAAAAACAGGGACTTAGACCGTTTTTTCACACTACCGTTGTAACATCCCCCAGGGTCACGTGATCAAAATCCAGACGCTTGGCAACTGGTTCATATTTATGACGGTTGCAGAATCCTGGAGTCATGTGATCTCCTTTTGCGACCCTCTGACAAGCAAAGTCAACGGGGGAGCCCGATTCACTTCACAACCTTATCAACTGCAGTGATTAACAACTGTGGCAAAAAAGGTTGTAAAATGAGGCAAAACTCACTTAGTAGCTGCCTTGCTTAGCAACAGAAATTTGGGGCTCGGTTGGGGTGGTAGGTATGTTCCTGATTCTTCTGATTTCAAATGATTTGCGCTGTAGCCAGCTTAAAAATTAGCTCCATTGCCCCTTGCAGGATTGTATGTTGTCGGTCAAACACTTGTTAAGGATCTTCTGCACAAAATGAGCGACGTGTTCAGATCTAAGCATGGACAAAAAAACAACAACTCCTCCATGATCTGAAACCACTTTCTGTTTTCCTTCCTGGCACTCCGCTGCCAGAATAACTGGTAACGTGATTTCCCCCTTTGGTGCTGATTGTGAGTATCACACCCTTGGCTTCCTAATCAACAGATGTGCCAAGATGGAGAAAAAAAGGGCTGAAAAAGAGAGAAGGCGGATAGGGTTGATAACCAACCTGAGATCCTCAAGATGTCTTGGTTTAGGCTGTATTTGATGCGGCTTTGACACACACACACACACACACACACTGGCCTCAAGTCCCTTATTAACAGGGTTTTGTTTGTTGGTTTGTATTCTTTCCAGGTGGTAAGCTCAACCAATGGTGAGTTGAACGTGGAAGAGCCAGCCGGAGCACCCTCCAATGTACAAGTTGCAGCCCGTACTGAGGTGGAAGTAGTAGAGGAAGCTAAGTATGTTTGCTGTCAAGCAAGGTTTATCCCTGCATCATCTCCATGTAAAAATATGTCGGTGTGTTTCCAGGCTTTGATGCACCCGTGCCCATTACGTGTGGTCAGATCCCTTTTTTTCCACTTTCCTTCTTGCATGGATAACCATGGCGTTGCTGGGTGCAGCTTTTTTCCCCCTTGGGCTGTCCAGGTCATGCTACTTCTGATCGATGCATGTGCTGCAAATATGACAGAGGGTTTCAGAAGAATTTGGCATGTGTAACTGATTCCCCAGGAGTTAAGGCTGTAGCTTTTGGTCCTGTAGCCACTTTTAACCATTTCAATTTCTTTGTGTCCTCTCCTTCTCCATTCCCAGTCTTCTTCTGAAAATTGAAGTTCTGTTATGCTTTAACTCCTCTTTGAAAAGAGAGGATTTTGTGTCCAGTAGGGAACTTCTGGCTCATGGAAGTTGTGAGTTATTTTTGCCTGCAGTGGGATTTATTCTGCTTCAGTTAGAAGTCAAGACCATTATTTTCATCTCTACCATCCAGGGCTACTACTGTTCATGATTTATCAACACTGCAGGAACCATGATAGGGAGCTTCTCCCTCCTCCCCCCCCTAATTTCTTCTTCTCCATAAGGCAGGTCAGAACATATTTGGTTAATTACACTGAGAAGAAGGTTCCTCAAAGACTTAGTGGGGCACAGCAGTGCTGTTTGTCTTGCCTTACTTTATCTTGTGTTGAGACTTTGGACAGTCTTTCAGCAATCATAACCAACAAAATTTCTGTAAGTTTTATGACAGACACGATCCTCTTTGCTAGGCTAAAGGTGAACTTCAAAATGTCCTTTCCAGAAAAGCAGGTTGTCTGTGCCTTAAGTTTAATTATGCTTCAGGTTCTGAAGCCCCAGCTAAGAGGAAGTAATTGCCTAAAAATCTTTTCAGAAACAGTTGATCACTTTGCAAACATTTTCACCTTCTCCCTTAAGGAAAAAAAAACCTCTAAAACATCTTTGAGCTTGGGAGAATTTTATTGTTTTTATTTTAACAAGCACAAGTATCCTTGTGACAAAAAAAAGTGGTCTTTGATTTGCTTTTCCAGTTGATAACTTTGTCACCCAGCAGGTGGTCAGTGACTTTCTAGGGTTAAAAGGGTGGAGATGGGATAGAGAGATTAGGTTAATTTTTAAAAAATAATTGTATTTATACAAAGTGCTGGAAGATTCTTCAGCAGTTTAGCAGCAGGATGGTTTTTTTTTTATTTTCTAGGAAATGTTACAGAAACGAGCTAATCTTTAGCCCTTAAGAATGTCTGTTTGGGCCATAGCATTAATAAAATGGCCAGAATTCTGTATCTACTAAGCAAAGCTAGACCATCATCTTTGTGATACGGCCAATCAGGCTGAAGGAATATTGGCTCACTACTTTTCTCCTGGTTCTCCTCATCTCTGGAAGTTGACTTAGAGCAAATCCCACTTAGTTCCAAGAATCTTTTATTCCCAAGTAATTGGACCTAGGATTGCGTGTCATGGACATTGTCCCTGAAAACGTTATGTCCTGCTCCAGTTTCATGAGAGGAGTTTCCTTCTGGGATGGAAGAAATTAGGATTGTCGGATCTGGATTGCAAGACAGCCAACAGAAAACTGACTGTGGTCCTTTGGATATTTGCAGCTCAGAACTGAAAGCTGTAATTGAAGTGGAAGTTAAGGGAAATGTTAATGTTCCCTGGAAATCACAATTGTTCTCCGCTTGTTGTCGATGTTTGTGGCACAGTGCCCCCCCTGAACCAAACCTTCCACGGAAATGGTACTTCCAAGGTTTATTAGATAGAATAACTATAATTATTTCCCAGATGGTTCTCAGTCAGCCAACACTCATAACGCCTTGAGTTAGCTGGGAGTCCAATTTCATCCTAGGTTTTGCAACTTCCTTTGATTTTTGCCAGGTCATCCTCTTTAAAACCACCTGTTGACAGCGTTTCCAGAAGCATCTTCTAACCGAATGTAAAGTTGCATCTTTATTCTTAGGGATGGGTCTTATGTCATAGTGCTATTACATTATTGTCCCATCAAAGCATTAACGTGTTTGCATCTGGCCCTTTCTAGGGAGTCTTGGCAAGAGCATTTTCCAGCCCAACAGAAGTCATCTTGCTCTCATTTGCCAGGGCCTCACTGAACACATTTTCCCCACTCATAATCATCCTTGGTGTTCTGAAATGATGGCCTCCGGCTATTGCAAGTGCTTCTTTTTGTCTGTCTCAGAAGTGCCCATCGTGGTATCTCTCTTCCTCGGGGATTACAAGAGGATTAGGTAGAACCAGACGCGAGAAAGTAGGTGGAGCTGGTGAGGACCTCAGATCCGCAATGCACGTTTGCATGAACTGCCGTGACTTGCTTTCCATCTTACTCTGAGCTAATGTTTCCTTCTTTCCTTTCTGTGTTTTTATTTGTCTTTCTTTTCTTTTCTTTCTCCTCTCACTGTCTGTTGTAGCTGCCTGAAAATGCTCAACTTGTGGTGAGTCGCTCTCTCTGGTTCACGTGCAAGGGGGAGTGAATCAGACTAGGCTGTGCTTAGCCCAAAGCAAGGCGAAATTGATCGATTGGGCAGAGCGGATAGCTAAGAAATGGCCTCCGTAGTTATAAAAAGAGATTGTGGCAGAGTGTTTTGAAAGCCTGAAGGCATCTCAGTTTGTCCCCAGAGTTGTTAAACGATCTATGGTTTTTTTTTCTAAGCAGTTCATTTCCCAGGGATATACTTTTTCAATCCTTGATTGGTAAAAAGTGTGTGTTATTATCAGTTTTGGAACAGTTTCCATTGTTTCGTGAAAGATTTGGGCATTTCCAGTGCTAGGGATCTGTATGATGAGAATATTCCTACTTTTGCCCCAGAAACCACCATCTGTTGTCTAAAGTAGAGCTAAATTTCTTTTCCCCACACATGGAGGCAGTCCTCAATTTACAACAGTTCATTTAGTGACCGTTCACAGTTACTACGGCAGTGAAAAAGGTGACTTAAGACCGTTTTTCACACTTAACGACCGATACAGCATCCCCATGGTCAGGGGTAGGCAACCTTGTCTCTTTTATGACTGGTGGACTTCAACTCCCAGAATTCCTGAGCCAGCACGACTCAGCTTGGAAACCTCTCCTTTTCCCCTCAGCATGGCTGGCTCAGGAATTCTGGGAGTTGAAGTCCACCAGTCATAAAAGAGCCAAGGTTGCCTACCCCTGCCCATGGTCATTCAGAGGCTTGGCAACTGACTCACATTTACGACGGTTGCAGTGTCCCAGGGTCCCGCGATCCGCTTTTGCGACCTTCGGACAAGCGAATTCAATGGGGAAGCCAGATTCACTTAATAACCATGTAACTAATTGAACAACTGCAATGATTTGCTTAACAACTGCGGCAAGGAAAGTCATAAAACGGGGCAAAACTCACTCAACAAACGATTCACTGAGCAACCTAAATTTGGGGCTCAGTCGTGTTCGCAAGTTGAGCTAGTGGGGAAGAGGGCAGTTTTTAACTACTGGGGGGGGGGCTTCTGAAAAGAATATCTTTTGGGCTTTCAGTTCCAACAATAATTCTTAGTACTTCAAAACTGCATAATGCCAGAATATGAATTTTCGAGGCTTAACGTTATTGGGGCTCCCTCATTGGAAACATTCTGTCTCAGGCATTTCTGGGCTAGCAGGGGAGGTTAGCATCCAAGATAATCCTTGCTTATTTTGCCTCATGGGGAACTTTGCCCATGCTTTTAGAGTTCCAGATGTGGTGATGGAGGAAAGAGACTAATTATGGGGAGTTTCGAACCACAAACTGAATAAGGCTTGTAAAGTTTCCCTGTCACATTCCAGCTGTTTTGGCTGAGGGAAGATGGACAATGAACAGTCCCACCTTCTGTCTTCCCTTCCCTTCCCTCCCCATCCCCATCCCTATTCCGTTTCCCATCCCAACCCAAGATATGATTCGGATCACCCAGCTTATCCCTTCGGCCAGATTCAATTATCCGTCCTGGAACTGGGAATACTCCCAGTGTTTGAGGATCATCACTTTGCTTTTCTTGGAAGCATGGGATGGCCATGCAAACAACAACTAAGCCTCATCCACTTTAGTTTGTTTCCCCCACTGAGCGAGCGGTCCTTCCTTTTAGAACATCCTTGGTTTTTCTTTTGCACGTGTGCGTGTTTAACTGCATACCCCTAATCGGCCCCGAGGGACGATGAAAGTTCTGAAGCGACCAGTATTAGTCATGGCAGTTTTGTAATCTAAAATGAACTCGCCTCTCTGGTTTTAGTTTAGGATTTGGCATTTTAAGGAATTTATTTGGCCATCAGTGTCCTCTGTGGCAGTGGCCCCCAACCTTGTTCGCACCAGGGACCGGTTTCGTGGAAGACAGTTGGAGGGGGTGGGGAACATGCAACCTAGATCAGCGATGGCGAACCTTTTAGAGACCGAGTGCCCAAACTGCAACCCAAAACCCACTTATGCATCGTCGGGTGCCGGGTGGGTGTGGCCCATTGGGTGGGTGTGGCCCATTGGGTGGGCGTGGCTGCAGTGGTAACGGCAGACTGGGTGGGACTAAAAAGTTCAATCAATCAATTCCAACTTTGCACGATCTTTTTTTTTCCCGCAAGAAGTTGAAATTGACTGATTGATTGAACCTTTTTTTTTTTTGCACACGGAAGTGGAGGCCTAAAGCGAAAAGGTTTTATAAAACCCAGCTGAAGGCCTAGGACTGGGGCGACGGCGCGCGTGCCCACAGAGAGGGCTCTGAGTGCGGCCTCTGGCACCCGTGCCATAGTTCACCACCACTGATATAGAGGATATATAGAGAGAGGATATAGAGCAGTGATGGCGAACCTTTTAGAGATCGAGTGCCCAAACTGCAACCCAAAACCCACTTATGTATCGTTGGGTGCCAGGTGGGTGTGGCCCATTGGCTGGGCGTGGCCCTTTGGGTGGGCATGGCTTCGGTGGTAACGCCAGACAGGACGGGACTAAAAAGTTCAATCAATCAATTCCAACTTTGCACGATCTTTTTTTTTCCCATGAGAAGTTGAAATTGACTGACTGATTGAACCTTTTTTTTTTTGCACACAGTGGCGGAGGCCTAAAGTGAAAAGGTTTTACAAAACCCAGCTGAAGGCCTAGGACTGGGGCGACGGTGCACGCGCCCACAGAGAAGGCTCTGAGTGCCGCCTCTGGCACCCGTGCCACAGGTTCGCCACCACTGACCTAGATCCCTCACATACAGAGTTTACAGCAGGGTTTGTGCCCCTGATGATCTGAAATGGAGCTGAGGCGGTGACGGGAGCGCTGGGGAGCGGCTGCAAATATAGGCGAAGCTTCGTTCGCTTGCCTGCCGCTCACCTCCAGCTGCGAGGCCCGGTTCTTAACAGGTCATGGACCGGTACTGGTCCTTGGCTCTGTGGTTGGGGACCCCTGCTGTACGGGACTCCTGTGACTTCCCTATTTATTTATTTATTTTTTCCCCTACACCAAGCATCTCAAGATGCATCGGATGCTATTCCTGATAGACCCCCTGACCTTGGGATTATTTCTCAGGTAGTTCTGTAAATGCTTTTCTGCCACAGATCCTCATCTTTATCAAGCTATGGATATAGCTTATCCCTGACAAAAGCCACAAGTAGACTTACGGACTCTTCTTCGGTGAAAATAAGCAACAGATAACTAACTCATTGGCTAACCACGTTTTCTGTTTCCGTACACTTGCAAAAGAAATGCTTTCCTCTTCTGTCTGTTTTTTTAGATTGTAAGCCCCTCGGGGTATGGACCTCTCAGACCTGTTCTTTGTGAATATGCTTGGTTGGTGCGACAGAAAAATAAAATAAAGACAGTTTTGCAGAAGGCCATGCCTGTGTTCACCTATATGCAGCCGAGAGTGGTTTCTTAGTATCACAGCCTCTATCAAGATTTGCTGGGCCATCTTTGCATGCAAAATAAATATTGGATCATAAAATGCCAAAGAGCGCCACATGTAATGCCAGGAAGCGGTCAGGGTTATTATTGGGATGAATGTTATATTACATACATTTTATTGATTTATTAAATTTATATTGCCACCCATCTCACATATGTGACTCTGGGTGGTGTACAATAAAAGAACCCAATAAACGATATAAAACAAGACTACGCAACAATTTAAAAACATTTAAAAAACAAAACAGGTAAAACGCATATAAATAAGACTATGGAAAAATAGATCAACAGCCTATCAACACTTGTGTGCTCTCTGCTTCCCTGGGACCTCCAAGCCTGTTATTTTATTTATTTATTAAATTTATTTGCCGCCCACCTCAACCACAAGGTGACTCTGAGTGGCATATAGAAGCAAGTTCTTTCTCTCTGTCTGCTTCTGAAATGCTCTGTTTAGCACTTCAGAAAAAAAAGTTTAGAAAGGTCAAAGGCCTGAGGGAATCATGAAGACCAAAGTAATGGAATCCATAATTTTTAAATATAACATGTCTCCAAAGACATCAGCCCAGGGGATTTTGTTTTTGTGTTTTTTTCTCAGATTTGGCAACTTTAAGACAAGGGGACTTTTGACTCCCAGAATTCTGGAAGTTGAAGTCCATCCATCTTAAAGCCTGCTAGCTTATTCCAAAGCCATGGAGTTTAACCATATCTACACCGAGTAGCAGTGGCTGTCTGTGTTTGAGGCAATATTTTATAGCACTTCTTGGGGATATCAAAATGTGAACTATATGTTCTACCAATGAGCAACCCTCGTTCTTTACACTTGCTGGGATATTTGGAGAGCATGGGGTTGGGGAAAGTACCCTTTGGGGATTTCCATTCATTTCTCAGATTAGAGAATATCTGATTTGATGTGTGTACCTCTGATGCCCAAAAAAGGGATATTGCCCCCCTCCAAAAGGATACTACCTTCCCCAAGCATTAGCCCAGATTACAGAAATGGAGCTGTAATCCAAACTGGCTCAATTTGCTCGTTTTGTGGTAATTGTGGGGTTGGCCCCTGGATGCACACAGAATGCTATGTGCGTTTGACATTCAGGAGTAGTGGATCTGGTCATTTCATTTTACCCTCCCTTCTCCTCTACCTAGACAGGTTTAAATTTATTTATTTATTTATTTATTTATTAAATTTATATACCGCCCTATCTCCCTTACGGGACTCAGGGCGGTGAACAGGCAATAATAAAAAATCATGCTTGTAACCAATATCTAAAAACTCTACCCAACAGCCTACAAACCTAAAAACCTATATAGGTAAAACTACCTAGAGATTCTTTTAGAGCCCCTTCAGAACTTTACTGAAAAGCTTTTGAAAGCTTTTCCCCCTTGTGAAGGTGGAACCAAATGTGGGTAAGGAATTGTGGAGTATCGTAATTATAAAGGCCCACCGTGAAAGGGCCAGGTGTCTTGGGCAAGGCCTTCACCCATGGCTTTTGATGGGCAGGCTCATGGAAGCAAAGACATTCTGCTGCCATTTAGAACCAAGGCCAAAAATGAAGTAGTGTGCTTAAGACAAACCGTGGGCCAATAAAGCTGGTTATTAGAAATGATTGCCCAGGATTATATTACCTGTTATGAACTTGGCTCTCCCCCATAACACATTTTTGCACAGCGTCACCGTTTTAGTTGGAAAAGATGGGTTTCTTAACTTCAGCCTCACTGGTGGCCACAATTCTCAGGAGAGTTTTATTCAGTAGCATTTAGGGAAGGATTTTTTTACAAGCTTTCTTTTTAAAAAGGGAAAGCCCATCTCCATAGGAATAAACGATAGACTAATACCGTGGAAGCCTCGCCATCTTACGGTTTATCAATATGCACCATTCTTCTCTAGAATGTCAATCGGTGTAAATTAACTTTGTTAACCTTTCTTTAGACCCATTCCACAAAAATACTTCCCACCAACTTCTGCTATGTAAGATAGTCTTCCTTGGGAATTGATGACACCAGAATTGGGTAGAGTACAAATCTCACAAAAAGTCCTGTATCTCTTGGAATGCATCAACCCCACAAAAGAGATTTGGACAGTGAGATGGGCAGCATATAAATTTAATACATGAAATAAAAGAGATGCTGGGAGGGGCAGGGGGAGGACACAGCAACCTTCGAATTGCGGTGTCCGACTCTTTCAGTTCACGTACTAATTGTTTAGCCAAACGGTCATATCCAGAATTCCTAGACAATTAGTTCCTTGACCAATGCGCATTCTAGAGAAGAATGGTGCATATTGATAAACCGTAAGATGGCGAGGGTTCCACGGTATTAGTCTATCGTTTATTCCTATGGAGATGGGCTTTCCCTTTTTAAAAAGAAAGCAGGTTTTTAGGTGGCTCTCTCCTAAGACCATTTTGCCACAGGCTGGCTGAAAGAAGGACACCCATTTCTAGCAGTCTCCAATTCCCCCCCAAATATACTTCCTGTGTTCATGAGAAGCCATCTCTGCCATGGTTGGTTTTGTGTGAAGATCCTCCTTTCCCAAACGACCCCTCCCGGATCTATTGGGCCAACGGCCGGGCTGTCTTTTGGTCGTTGCGGTCCCAATGCATCTGGATGCGGTCGAGTTGAACAAAGGCTAGCCTCAAATGAAAACCTTGAGTGGGGGGAAATAGGTATGTTAAAGAGACTCTTGCATATGTGGTCCTTCCATGTGACTCTGTGTCTCTGCTTCATTTCATAGTGAATTGTTGCGTAGGTGAAGGCTTCCCAGATCCACTCCAGGCTTCTCATAAGAAACTGGATTGTCTCATTCTGTGAACCATCCATCCTGTGTCATCATTAAAGGAGGCCATCTGTGCAGAATAAGTCACCCTTAGTTTCCTGCATGCGCCTCTCAGGTTTTACCGCTCATCTTCCTTCACTTTGGTTGTTCATTTTATCATTGATTAAAAAGAAAACCTTGTCAAAACACTAGCTATGTCCCCTTTCTGTTTTATTGTAGTTATTTTTTTTGGTGAGGTTTTGTCCATAGACCGGATTACATGCTCTACATATTTTCCATCTCAAAACAATCCCATCAACCAATCAGCTAATCAAGTACCTGAGGGTATTTATTTTAGATCTAAATGTAATCTGGAGTAATTCTCTATACTCTCATAGACATAGCCTAAACAATTGGTCAAGGAACTAATTTGTCTAGGAATTCTGGATATGACCGTTTGGCTACACAATTAGTACGTGAACTGAAAGAGTCGGACACCGCAATTCGAAGGTTGCTGTGTCCTCCCCCTGCCTCTCCCAGCATCTCTTTTATTTCATGTATTAAATTTATATGCTGCCCATCTCACTGTCCAAATCTCTTTTGTGGGGTTGATGCATTCCAAGAGATACAGGACTTTTTGTGAGATTTGTACTCTACCCAATTCTGGTGTCATCAATTCCCAAGGAAAACTATCTTACATAGCAGAAGTTGGTGGGAAGTATTTTTGTGGAATGGGTCTAAAGAAAGTTTAACAAAGTTAATTTACACTGATTGACATTTTTCTAGCAGACTGTGGTTTCCATAATTTGGCTGGACTTTATTTAATGCATTGAAACTTATAGTGGTAGTGATGCCAGCAAGCTGTGGGGTTTTGTTTTGTTTTTGTAATTTATCCCAGGGAGGCCAGGATAAAGTATAGCCCAGTATTCACCAATCTGCTGCCCTTCATCTCTGTTAAATTACAATTCTGTCATCCTTATCTAAATGTGATACAACTCCCATCACTTGCAGGAAATCAAACTGGGAAAAGGTGCTGTAGAACAAGGCTCCCTAATCTTGGCAACTTTAAGACTTGTGTGGACTTCAGCTTCCAGCTAGCTGGCTGGAGAGTTCTGAGAATTGAAGGAGTCCACAAGTTTTAAAAGTGATCCTCTCACTATCTTCAATAGTTCAACCCTGGTCACTAAAAATGGCCTTTCTCCTCTGTTGGATGAAATCTCCAGCCAAGGAGATCCCTGTTGCAGAAGAAATGCGTAACACGGACAGACAGATTTCATCCAACAGAGGAGAAAGGCCATTTTTAGAGACCAGGGTTGAACTATTGAAGATAGTGAGAGGATCACTTGGGCGTTCCAAGGAAGTCAATCTTTCTAACTATTTGTTCCATCAACTGATGGTATGCTTTGGTTTAGAAGGGGTTTTTTTAATGCATATTTTAATTGATGAAATGTGGATGTTAGAACCCTGGAATAAATGTTAATAATAAATAGAATATTAATTCTGTTTAATTAAACGCTAAACAGAAAATGACACCCTGCTTTTTAAATATGGGAGCACGCGCCTAACAAACAGTCACTTTAATTTCCTTTTTTAAGGAATTGGAAGTACAAATATCTTTGATGAGAACACACTAGGATGTAAAGGATTCAGACAGTTAACATGTTCAGATGCCATCAGCCAGGTTTATTATGCACTGACCCTAATTTGAATTGTGCATTCAGTTCCCTAGCGAGTAAAAGGGAAATTCGCCGTTACGTAAAGTAATAGGAAGGTTTGAATAAAACCAGGATGAAAAACATTCTTTCCATTAAAATGTAACTAAGGAGGAATTAGCAAACATGGATTACTGATTTAACTACATCTCCCAGTTTGAATGCATTTGTTTTGTAATGAAATAAGGAGGAAGAGTATTACAACACTTATTCTCCATCTAATGTAGATTACATCAAGAATTTGTTTCTCTGTTAAAAAAAAAAACTTTCTAATGAGGAAGAAGGACCTTCTGTTGAAATGACACTCCCAAAACGTTACCGCTTTTGAATACTCCAGGATAACCCAAGTCCTTATTAGGCCAAGCACTTCATCCTACTTATTCTTAAATAATCCTGTCTAATCTCCCTATGAGCAACTACTGTGGGTTTCCTCTGCCTGTGCTATATATGGGTCTGTCCCGACAGCATGTCATGCAAACGTCTTCATGCTTCTGAATCTCTAATTGGACACTTCCAGCTTAAGAGCTTTGTGCTTGTCCAGGTTGCATTTTTGAGAAAATGGGGGCTCCGGCTGCTTTGGGGACACCGTGGGTTCTTTTGGATGAAATTTACCCTGTTCCCCTTCCTGGTTGGTGTGAATGCAAGTGGTGTGGGAAAAGACGGAGAAGCTGGAGGTTAGAATGGATTGCGATAAGCTATGGCAGTCCTTTTTTTAAAAAAAAAAAGAAAAGAAAGAAAAAGCATGGACGTGTGATCCTAACGAGTGCAGACTGTCCCGTTGTGTTAGGGTCCTCCAGTTGGACGGGAGAGGGTGGACCGGGGAGGGTGCCTCGCGTGCTTCTGAGAATGAAGAGGTTGGCTCCATCCTGTCTTGTGCGTTGTGTTTGAAGGAGAGGGGTTTCCGGGGACGGCCCTGGGACGCTGTATTGATTGGCTGTGTTCTTTGTGCTCCAGGTGCTGCTGCTTCTATAAGAGGAAACGAAAGAAGTCTTCTCAGCGCCAGAAATAACAGGTGTCTCCTGAAGGCATTTTGGGGTCTTTTGCGTACCTGCTGTTCCTGCCACGTCTTGTTGAAGGGGGCTCCTGTTGGGGAAGGTCAAGAAACAAGGGACACTTTAAACCAAAAAGAGGGAGAGAGAGAGAGAGAGAGAAAGAAAAGAGAGAGAGAGAGGAGGGGGAAATTCCATAATAAACATTCAGGTGGATTCCCCAGATGGTCTCCCTCGTTCACTCCTCCTCCTCCTCCGTACCTGAGGCTCCTTTTGATGGAATCAGGAGAGCATCTCCCCCCCCCACTTCCCCCTCCAAGGCACCGGTTGCCCTTGATGGAAGACGAGGCTGGCTCCCTTCCTTCCTTTTCTGTACATCCCTTCAGTGAAAAGGGGGGGCATTCCTGACGAATGTGCTTTGTTCCTTCTCCCTTTGGGGTTCTCCACGTGCTTCCCCCTCCCCTCCCCTCCCTTCCCCTCCCCTCCCCAGGGGCTGTTGTGAAGCATAGGGCCAAGTGAACTCACGGCTGCGAGGGACGAATGCTGCTAAAAGAGCCCAGGTTTCTCCTACCATCCACACCCTGGGTTTCAACTCTCCGGGGGCCGGCCAAAGTGGGATAATCTTTAATGGTTGCCCTTGGAGAGCATCCCTGGCAGTAAGCCAACAGTCGGAGAATTGCAATCTACTCTTAACAGTTGCCTTGATTTACTGGCATGTCTCCTTTTTTTTTTTTCCCCTTCTTCTTCTTCTTCTTCTTCTCAGAATGATTGGAGAAAACTGTCCCGTTCTAAATGAGCATAAGTTGTTGCACTTTTAATTTTTGTTTTATTTTTTTAAATTGTAACACGAACGGATGCATATTACGCTGTTTTGTGTGTGTTCTCTCCTCGTCGGGCGCGGACGAGGCTAGCCCACGTGCTCGGCTTCCACTCCTCTTCATGCAGGCTGCCCGTCCCTCTTAGGATTCCACCAGGACTGCGGCCAGGTTCTGGAACGGCCCAACGTTGCCCGTGCCCTGCCGCTTACTTGAATCTTCCAGCTTCTTGTGGAACACCCCGGTTGTGGTTTTGTCTCCGTGGTGCCTATCTTGACCGGCTTGAGATCGGAAAAAAAAAAACCCTTTTCTGCTGGCAGGAGAAGCGAAGTCAGCTGGACTGAACTTTTGGACAAGTGACCGTGGAATGAGGGGAGGCACTTTGGCCTTTTTAAGCGGAGCAAAGCTCGGCCAGAGAGAGGACACTGCCGTTGCCTTATACTTCTTCTCTGGTTCGGATTTTGCCCAGGTTTTCCAGTCAAACTCTACAGACTTTAGAAGAGGGTGCCATCTATATTAGTGCCTGCAGACCTTTCAGTTTTGTGGCTTGGGCCTGATGTTGATTACACCTACCTGGATACGCAATGAGATCAATATCAAAAATGCAAGTTTTTTCTTTCTTTCTCCCAAGCAAGACAGGACTTTGGGGGACACTTTGAGAGAGGGGTTGAAAAGCCTTGGATTCACCTCCTGAAATCTGTCTAAAAGGCAACACAACCCTGTTGACCAGCGACTAGTTTTCGGGCCCTCGTGGGAAGGAAGCGACCTTCCGAATTGTAGGGGGAGAAGCAAGCAAGAGTTCCTTGTTTGCCAATGAAATAACTGCTAGTAGGGGGAAAAGCCACTGGATCCTATAACAACTGGATTCCTGCTCATCTCAAATACTCTTTTCATGCCTGATGGTTTGTCTTAAATGTTAAAATCTCGCCCCCACTTCTCTATGCCGAGCTGTAGATTGCTGATCATTTCCCAATTAATGGGCCAGAACCCAGATTTTCAGTGATCTGTGCATTCATTCTCTGAGTTCTATCTTTCCTCCAAAAATGGGGTGTAACACAGAAACACAACTCATCATCTTCATCTTTCATCACTGGTAAGAGTTGAGAGTTTCTCCTTGGCGGTCCTTAAGAATGAACGTACTGTCCGTTAAATACCAGTTGAAATTAGCCTTTTATTCCACTCTTACCATGGGGCTCAGGCTGGCTTTCTGGAGGAGATCAAAGCTAACAATTCAGAAAGGAGAACTGCAGCTCTTTAATTTTATCAGGAGCAGCACTTCACCTTTCCCTCGCCCATTTTGAAAATTTGCATCCTGAAAGTGAAATATTTTTACACTGAGCTAGGGATTTCTCCCCCCCTCCCAACAACTTGAAGCTTGCAAAAAGGGAGAGCTATGTTTTAAACTAAAAACAACTTTGTTTCTAAATCCTCAGTCAATCTCTAGAATGAAATAGGGACTAGGGAAACCGATCTGCTCTAGACCGCTTTTAGGATCTCCTTTTGTTATAAGCGAATAATTCATTTTGCACAGAGCAGTACAAAATGGTGTGGGGGGGGGGGAAACCCAGTTCTCCATTGCTTCTTCGGAAATTGTAATATCAACCCTTGGATCTGTAGCCTCCCCTTTCCAATGAGGCAAAACATGTTGGCTTCCAGTCGCGGATAATTTACTTTTCAACTATGTTGAAAAATGTACCTGTCTTTCCCCAGAGTCAAGTCTATTTAACAGTGAGGGTTGCTTTGCTTCAGGAGTTCTTGAATTCCTTATTAGCTTGACACCGTTTTTCTGTCTGAACAGATATTTGATATCTGTTTAGAAAATAAAGATAACGATATCCAGTTATCTAGGAAGAGAGCTTCTCACATATATGCATGTTCATCAGCTGTCGGTTATTTTGTCTGGGAGGGGGAAAAATCAACCTCTGCTTGAGCCAAGAATCTTATTCTCAGACCTCTCCATATTCTTGAAGTTAGTAAAACTGTTTTATGGATGTGATCGCTCTTCTGACTTCCTTTTTTAATATATAAATAAGCTCAAATTGCTAATCTAGAAGAAGCTGTGCATGAATGCTCAAAATATGTACCTACATCGCACTGGGAATGACCAGCATCAGCATTAGAAAACTCTTAACTTCATGGTTGCTTTGATAATTTCGCTCTCTTTTAGTTGTTACCCTTTTAACATAACTCAACCATCCCCTGAACCAGCGATGGGGCTTCCAGGGATGTTTGGTCTTCAACAAGGCCTGCCCAGATGTTCCTAGGTCCAAAACATTTGCTTCCGTTTCTTTCATGTACCACACCTCCTACAAGGGTATGAGCAAAAACGGCTGCTGCTTCTTCTTGGTTCATAGCAGTCCATAGGTGTGTCTTTCCCAAGGTTTGGCGAGCACGTACTTTTTACAAAACGTAAGTGGGAGATACCAGGGCGAGCCCCTAGCCGCGTGTAGCTTAGTGTTGGGGGTGTGGTGTGATAAACGTGCACTGCCAAATTTGTACTTTCCCGCAAGTGCAAAGCCATAATCTTTGCTTTCTCAAGATATTAACGAGAAGAGGAACAGTTTTATGCCTCGTCTTTCTCGGGGCCTTGAAGGACTGTACCAACTCCAAGGCTGCGAGTTTAATAGTTTTGAGTGTCAGTAACTGAGGAGTGAGAGATTGGCCGCTTTCTGTAGGCCTTGATGTTGGCACGACCGCTGGCAATGAAAGGACCCAGTTGCAGATTTACTTGGCCTCCGCAGTCCTCCGAGCTGCGTCTGTGTGATGCGTATCCCATAAGTAATCGGAAACAAACTTGTCTTTCTTCAAACTAATGTTTTTTTACTGTCCATGGAATTGTCTGTGAAGGGTGGAGAAATGTAAATTGTACTGAAGTTATAGGAATTATATTAATTATACCAAGGATCTGCAGGTGGGCAGATTGCGTTGTCCTGCAACCCCCCCCCCCCCCGATCCTGATTTAGCCCAGCTGATGGTGGGGGATGCTGAGATTTTTAACTCAGCTATTTCAAAAGGGCCCCCTCTTCTCCGTCCCTGCACGGCGTGATTGTCGGAAGGGGGAAAGCCTTTATTTTGTTCCTGGATTTGTAGGCAGCAAGTCTTGAGTTTGAACGCGGGCAGCAGACTCGGCTTCTGTTCGCTTTATTGCCAAACGAGAAGAGAGGTTCTTCGCCCTGACCAGAACGCCTTCGCGCAGTAGACCCCTGTCTTTTCTCACCCTGCTGAATCCCAGGAGAAGGCCACCCCTTTCTCCCCAAGCTGGGGGCTGCGTGTTCCCTGGCTCCTGGGACCAGCTCAGAGCTTAATATCTCTCCCTGAAAAATGTTGAGTTGGGTGACAATCCAAGCAACCTAGGCAGGAGTAGGAAGGCCTTGATGTAACCTCTCTTGTTCTTTTCAGACTGTCTCAGGAATGTAATCGCTTCCTCCCTCCAAAACAAGAGATATTTCACCCCCACCCCCCAACTGCGCTATTGCTGTATGACTTTAGGTGCTACCATGTGGAATTTAGAACAGCAGTTGCCTTTTCCACTTAGGAAGCCCACTGGATGGGGGCAAAAGTGGGTTTTGCCATGATCAGAAGAGAAGGGAACTAAGACTTTGGGCGTCTGGACCAGAACCAAATATTGCATCTTCTCCCCCCACACCCCAGCAGGGAAGTGCAGCTGAGTGGCTTGCTCCCATTGGAAACCTCGTGATGTATATTTTATTACGTCTGTTTCTTTTACCTTCGTCGGCCGTTGTGCTTTTAAATCGTGGGATGGGGATAGCGAACGAGGGCAGCTCTTGTTACTGTAAAGAAAAATCAGCTGTGAAAATCTTTTTATTTCCTCTTTTTTTTTAAAGAAAAGTATTATGTGCACTGTTCTGATTCTTGTTAAAATGCCTTTGGGGTTTTTTTATTTTAATGGTTTCATTTGAAACAGGATGCCATGTTTTACTGTCCTCTCATCATCCGTGTCCTGCAATGGCCGCTTGGTGGGGAACACGAAATATCTTTTCCAGATGAATGTCAGTTTGAAATGCATCTGAAAACAGTTCAACCAGGATAAGGGCTTATTTATGCTGTGGGTGAAAAATTCCTTCCTTTTAAGCACTGGTGGGGTTTTATTGTGCCAGGAAATGGGTCTTGCAACTGATCTTTCTGGGTTCACCTGTTTTAATGGGACATTGCAAGAAATGTTGTGTACCTTGAATACATTCTTCCCCCGAATGGCACCATTTTAATGTAAAATAAAACATTGACTTTGCTCTGTTCATTTCTGGTCTGTTCATGGTTTTGCCACAGATCTTGGGCCCTGGAATTAACATCTTGAAATCAGAATGAAAACAAATGCCAGAGTGTGTTTCTTTATACTGGCAGTCCTTGATTTATGACAACAATTGGGATAGGAAATCCAGTTGTAAGTTGTTGCGGTTGTACGTTGAGACACCCACATGACCAGATTGTTTTTTTGAGGGGGGGTTGTTAAGTGAATCACCATGATCATTAGGCAAATCCATTCTTCTGAATGGGCATGTTTTTTCTGGAAACCAGCACAAAGCCAGAAATGGACAATAAACCTCAAGAATGACAGTCATAAATCAGGTCGTTAAACATCATGCGGCCTCCTCAAAATGTTAACCTGCTGTCTGCAGAGACAAGGTTCATTTTTCAAAATGGCTTAAGTGCTACTGCTTTACTTGTATATATCAAACCTTTAAAATACTTATCTGCATATCAAGAGCTCAGCAACATTTATATAAAAGACTGCTGGAATTACCGGGATGGGATGTAATTGCTTGATCAAGCAAGCCCACTTTTGGGGGCGTTAAAACTTACCCTTTTGGATTTTTAGGTATCACTGTTAACACACATCACTGTTTCCTAGTTTCTGCTAATATAAAATGCCAAAAGGCAGGCCAATCTTTTACTAAGCTTCTAACATCGATTCTCTCCTGGACGTAAAATATAAACCTATTCAGCAGTACCGTAGCAACCAGAGTAGATCTGCTTTATATTTTGGAGGTTAAACCTACGGTTTGAATAATTAATATAAAGTTATATAATCTGTCGATGAAGCGTTACAGGCCAGTCTTGATGATGCTCTGAAGCAGTGTTTTTCAACCTTGAAGTAGAAGACTTCAACTCCCAGAATTCCCACAGCCAGCATGGCTGGCTGAGGAATTCTGGGAGTTGAAGTCCACCCATCTTAATGCTGTCAAGGTTGAAAAACATTGCTCTAAAAAGGATTCAGTTCACCCTGGAGTAACTTCGGTCACAGCCTTATTATGGCCCAACCTCTTTGCGTCTATAGCCGGGTTTCCCTCCGGCGGATCTTCCCTTAATTGCACCCGCACAACAACCTTGGGAGGTAGGCAGGGCTGAGAGCAGCAGCAGCTCTGTAGCTTAACGGAAAGTCGAGCCGTGACCGGCGTCCGCTTGCTATGCTGACCCCTACAGGAGCGGAGCGGTAACACAGTCCTCGCGCGCTCCTTTCTGGGTAACGTAGTTTCGCCAGAGAAGCCTTCCTTCCTGCCTGCCTCGTCTTTGTTGTCCCTTGGCCCAATGGGCGCGGCCGCCGCCCTCCGTGCCACTTCCTCATTGGCCCACGCGGCTGCCCAATACGAGGCTGGAAACGTGGCATTCCTTTGTGGCAGCTGGGTTCTTCTCGCCCCCCCCCTTTTGGCGATGGAACGCGCCAATCCCCGCCGCTGAAGCCCTCGCTCCGCCCGGCTCGGGCTTGTACCATTAGGCAGGCGATAGGGGGACCGAGGGCGGGGAAAGGAAGGCTCGCGAGGGGAAGGGGGCGGATGCTGGCGGCGCGGCGGGCACTGTGGCCGGGCTGGCGTGGCTGGAGCTGCGAACGCAGGAAGATGAAGTTGCTGGCGGCCGCGGCCCTGCTGGGGCTGGGCGGGGGTCTCCTGATGCTGCTCTTCCCGGGCACTCATGCAGAGGAGCGCAAGAAGGGTCCCAAGGTCACGGTGAAGGTGAGCAAGCGGGGGGGGGAGGGGAGGCACCCAGGCTCAATATTCCCCGTGCATCGCTCCCCCCTCCTCGACCCACTTGCTTTGCAGCGGGATTCGGCGCCCGTGCAGCCGCCCTCCCGTTTGCAACCCCGTTGCAACCGCCTGGCAGCCGGCCAGTGCCCGGAGGGGTCTCCCCCCCCCGCCTCTGCTGGCCAGTTTTTAGTTTATCCACGCGCACGTGTGGATGTGCACGCACACGTGTATCAAGACCGGTGGGGTGGTGGGAAACGGGAACCTTAATCCTGGGAACCGGCCGCGACCGATCAGATGACAATGAGCCGCCGGGAGGCTGCCCATGCCTCGGTAGGTGGCATCCAAGGGACGTGGGCAGATCCAGGGCAGGTTTGCACGCGAGTAATGCAGGCACAGACGGGCCCCCTATGAAGCAGGGACTCCAGGAATAGGATTGCCGGTCATCCCGTGGCAGGGTTAGGGTTGGCAGGCTGGCACCGGAGAGCCCAGAAGCAGGAGAGTTGCAGGGGGTTATTTTTGCTTTCTTTCTGGGGATTGCTCACGAGGAAGCCCCCTTGGATCCAGTGCGATTAACTCCCGGCTGGTGAAGTGCACGAATTGCAGCCTGGCAATTGTAGAGCCCCTGAAATGAAGGAGAGCCTTGACCAGGGTGATGACATGGCATTTTCCAAAGACTTAAAAACTGGACTGTGGTTTCCAGGCGAAGAGGAAGGACGCTTGGGAGGGATGAGGGCAGCCACCCGGGCCAGAAGCATTGGGCCTCTCTTCCGCTCCCAGGAACCGTTAGCCAAGTCCGAGATACCAATAAGATGAAGCCGTTGTACATTCTAATAAAAGCATCTTAAGGCTTGTGCCCGTTCAGACAGCTGCCTTGTGTCCTCACACGCAGGTCTGGTAGAAGCCTCCAAGGACATCACACACAATGAGTTACTCCACCGCAGTTACTCAAATTGTGTCTTCATCTCTTGCCAGATATGCTTACATGACTTAAATTCAAGGAGTCTTCAGTTTATAACAGTTCGTTTAGTGACTGAAGTTACATCAGCACTGAAAAATGACCGTTATGACCATTTTTCACACTTACGACCCTTGTAGCGTCCCCGTGGTCATGTGATTTACATTCGGGCGCTTGACAACTCATTTATGATGGTCACCATGTCCCGGGGTCATGTGATCCCTTTTTGTGACCTGATCAGCAAAGTCAATGGGGAAGCCCAATTCACTTAACAACCTTTTATTAACAACTGCAGTGATCTACTTAACAACTGTGGCAAGAAAAGCGGTCAAAACTCACTTAACATCTGTCTCATTTAACGACAGAAATGTTGGGCTCAAATGTAATAATAATACAGTTGGAAGGGACCTTGGAGGTCATCTAGTCCAACCCCCTGCTCAGGCAGGAAAACCGATACCATTTTGGACAAATGGCTGTCCAGTCTCTTCTTAAAAAACTCCAGTGTTGGAGCATTCACCGCTTCTGGAGGCAGGTTGTTCCACTGGTTAATTGTTCTAACTGTCAGGAAGTTTCTCCTTAGTTCCAGGTTGCTTCTCTCCTTGATTAGTTTCCATCCATTGCTTCTTGTCCTGCCTTCTGGGGCTTCGGAGAATAGTTTGACTCCCCTCCTCTTTGGGGCAGCCCCTGAGATATTGGAACACTGCTATCATGTCCCCCCTCATCCTTCTCTTCGTTAAACTAGACATACCCAATTCCAGCAGCCGTTCTTTATATGTGGTCGTAAGTCAAGACTACCTGTATTAGGCTTTGTCCTGAAACCACACTGCAAGCTTAACCAGGCAAACCCTGATGTTTGCAATTCTTGTAGTGGTGCTTTGACTCCGCTGCAACAAAGGGCAGCTGGTGACCAAGGAGGGCCGGGTTTCAGCAACCGGTGCCTGGGTGCCAGAGACGGCCTCTTAAGAATTGGGTTCTAAATTCAGAATAGGAACAAATTTGCCTAAGCAGCCGGTTCCTGATAGCAGCCTCGGTTTCTCTCCCCAGGTGTATTTTGATGTTAAGATGGGAGAGGAAGATCTGGGGCGCATTGTCATCGGCCTCTTTGGAAAGACGGTTCCCAAAACGGTGGAGAACTTTGTTGCCTTAGCCACAGGAGAGGTAAGTCGGACGCCGGCTCCGTGATGCGGTCCTTTCTGAGTGACCGCAAAATTAGGGGTTGGATTGGTGCATGGTGACAATGCTTCACAAGCGGTAGATAAAGCAGAGAAAACTGGCAGCTGTGGGTGGCTGGGGGGAAAAAAATCCTCACAATGATGATGTTTTTCTGAGCAGGGCTGGCCCCACTGTTGGGTAAAAGGAGGCAGTCACTCCAGGAAGTAGGTGGTTGACGTTACGAAGAAAGTAAACCACTCTGCATTTATTAATAATATTGGATTGGATCTATTTAGCTGTTTATTTACAGATTTGTGTGGCTGCCTGTCCTGGGTCACAACTCACAACAATAATCCATAAAATTCTGGGTCGCCTGGATAAAGGGGGAACCCCTCTCAGTGAGAAAGGGTGGTGGTCTTTTGTGCTTAAAAGCTTTTTGGCACTCAGTTGGATTAGGAAAACATTGGATCCACTTTCTGTCTGCTGAGACGACATTGTTTTTTTTTCACTTGCTGGTTGGGATTCCTGAGTTTGGAAGGTGCTGGCATGGGGGCACTGCCAATGTTTAAGGTATGGGTCCCCTGCGTCCACCACCCTCATGCTTTGCTACTTTTGTTTGCCAGAAAGGATTTGGGTTCAAGAGCAGCAAGTTCCACCGTATTATCAAGGACTTCATGATCCAGGGAGGAGATTTTACCCGGGGTGATGGAACAGGAGGTAAGACTCAGGACAGGAAGTTGAGGTGGTTCCAAATTCAATCTCTTTGAGGCGTTCCATGTTTTTTGGCAAAGACGCCCTGTAGCGAACAATAGGTTTCATTAGCAACCACCGTGATGGTTAACAACCTGTGCAAAAAGTTGTACAACTGGGTCTGTCACATGAATGATCTGCTTTCCAACCCTCACAACTTATGGCTACATTGGGCAGGCTACAGTAAGTGGAGTAATATCTATACCTCCTCCAGAGCTTGGAAACTACGACTCCCAGAATTCCTTGCACATCCGAGGGTGCCATCTTTAATTCTTGGGCACTACTGCCTCAGCGAGATGCTTTCCCCTAAAGTACCATGTTGCCTTGAGTGGGTTGATCTCCATGTGTAATTTTCATTATTATTTTTTCAATCCTGCCCTTCAGTGTGAGAGTCAAGATAACAACAGTTTTAAGATAACACATCTATCTATCTATCTATCTATCTATCTATCTATCTATCTATCTATCTATCTATCTATCTATCTATCATCTATCTCTATCATCTATAGATAGCATCTATCATCTCTATATATATATCTATCATCTCTATGTATATATATCATCTCTACCTATGATCTATCTATCTATCTATCTATCTATCTATCTATCTATCTATCTATCTATCTATCTATCTATCTATTTAAAGTCAATCAGATAAAACCAAAGAGCTCTGGGATGTAAGGTAAAAGGCTTTTTTTATTAATTGCTGAGCTTTCGTTAACAACCTGTTAACATCATCAGAGCAAAGGGCTAAATGAGAAGGGGGAAGTATGTGCATAAATTTACATAACAGTTAAAAAACGGTTGCTTAAGAAGCTCTTAAAGGCATAAAGCAGTCAGTCTCAAGACCATATTCAAAAGTCACACTTGTCAGCTGTTTGGCGCGTAGATCCAGCGTGCCTATCAGCTGTTCAGCATGACTCTCAGAGTATCGAGAGTATCGGCCAAGATACTCTCAATCTTACACGGGAAAAGACCTGAATACACCAAGACCTGAATACCTGTACCCGTGAAAATCTACAAACACACACACACACACACATATACATACATATATATATATATGGAGCGAAGAGGCTGTAAAGATCACCACAGTCAGGCCAGTGATTAATAAAATCAGTCGTGAAAGAAAGAAGAAGGAGGCTGAGTTCACACAGTACTCTGAGCTATAATATGGTTTATTTGGTGCTGCAATACGAAGAGTGAATCCAGCCAAAGAGAGCTCAATTATAGATTGGCGTGTGAACCTAATGATTCGATATATCATGGATAGGTGAATCTTGGTCTAGGATTGTGTGGAAACACAATGGCTGAAAAGCAAGGAAATTGGTGCCAATGAGTTCCTGTGGTGTGCAGAAGTTCTTCTAACATCTGAAAAGGACTCAGGGATCTCAGAGAAGCTGCCTCTGGGGGATGCTTTTCCCTAAAGCAGGGGTAGGCAACCTTGGCTCTTTTATGACTTGTGGACTTCAACTCCCAGAATTCCTGAGCCAGCATGGCTCAGCTTGGAAACCTTCCTTTCCCCTCAGCATGGCTGGCTCAGGAACTCTGGGAGTTGAAGTCCACGAGTCATAAAAGAGCCAAGGTTGCCTACCCCTGCCCTAAAGTATCATGTCCTCCTCTTGAGTGGGTTGATCTCCATGTGTAGTCCAGGTAGATCTCAGGTTGAGACTCTCGGTCTCTGTTTTGGGCAGCATTACGTCTCTCCTGTTCTCATCTTTGCCAGGGAAGAGCATTTACGGAGATCGTTTCCCAGATGAGAACTTCAAGTTGAAGCACTACGGGCCGGGATGGGTCAGCATGGCTAATGCCGGCAAGGACACCAACGGGTCTCAATTCTTCATCACTACTGTCAAGACTTCATGGCTGGACGGCAAGCACGTTGTCTTTGGCAAAGTCCTGGAAGGGATGGTAAGAGGGACTCCGGTTGGGTTGGGTGAGAGTCAGTCTTGTCCAGGGTATAGATCTGTGTTTCTCAACTTCAGGTTGTGTGGACTTCCTGCCGGCTGGGGAATTCTGGGAAATGAAGTCCACACTTCTAAAAGCAGATGAGGGTGAGAAACGCTGGTCTAGATGCAAGGGTTCAAAATTAGAAAAGCTGAATTTGACTATTACTACAACTCCGTTGGGTTTCCTCCTTCCTATATTTGAATGTCTTGTTGAGTCACAGAACAACAAATTTAAACGATGTACCAAAACAGCACTTCTGACTTCCTTTTTAAAAAAAAAAGATTGCATCATGGTTAAACGTTGGTTGTGACTGGAGAATGCATTTGTCAGTACAATGCAGGCCTGGCTATGTGATTCTTCCCATTCATTTCCAATTTGTCTTTTTTGATGCCAATTACCACCATTTTCCCAGGTTGCATTCAACTGGGATCTACCTTGCGGTCTTGAAGATGTAAATCTCTAGATTGAGGTTCTGATGAGCCAAAGCTGGATTTGGCAACTGCTTCCCACCAGGCGTTGTTGAAATAAACTTGCAACATTGCTGGCCAGGCCTATTGACAGTTGGAATTTAATAATTACCTGAAAAACCCATCTCCCTGCCTCGTCCTAAATAAAAGTAAAGGTTTTAGAGGCCTCAACCTCTCATCATCCTTCCCAGCTAGATCAGACAGGAAACACGATCAGATGAGCTAATTTTACTGTATTGCCAGACTATTTAATATAGACTGTTGCAAGTCTGAAAGTACAAATATCTCGCCTTCTATTTTTATAGCCTGATAAGTTAGGATCTTCTCCAAGTTGCTTTCTTGGCCTGTTCTGCAGCTCTGGGCTCCCCCTCCTCTTATAGGACCATTCTCTAGGCAGCATCTCTTTCCCTTCCCTCTCCCAAGGTCATTCCCATATACTATGACATTATCATCCTGGACCCTCAACTGACCCTCCAAGCTGCAGCAGGGACCATTAGAACTTGAGAGGGTAGAGACCAGAACGTACGTGAGATAATGTCCTCCATGGTAGATGGGGCCATCAATTCAGGACTTTGTTCCTATCTCTTTCTAGGATGTTGTCCGGAAGATGGAAAGCACCAAGACAGACAGTCGCGACAAACCCCTGAAGGATGTCATCATTGCGGACTGCAACGTCATTGAGGTGGAGAAACCATTCGCCATTGCCAAAGAATAATCTGGGGTTGCTGGAGGGCCAGGTTCTGGTCTGCAAAAGGGCTGGAGGCCCTACCTTCTTCCCGGGGCCTCATTCATCCTCCTCCTCCTCCAGCTGCCGAGCACCCGCTGCTCTCTTTCTCCCCTCCATGCTGGGTGGTGGGGCCTCCATTTCGGCAACCACCGCTCAACTTCTTCCATTTCCATCATCGGCCTCGGTGGGCAGCGGGGCCCCTTCCAAGGGGCCAGGAGTGTTGCGTCGTCTCAGTTCTTTTTGTAAAAAGCACATGGACCAATAAACATGACCATTGTGTTTTTTTTGTAGAACATCTACCTTGCCTTTGTCCTCGTCAGCCAGGATCAGGGAACCCAAGCCGACTGTAGTTGATGCCATGAAGCGTGGCTTAACCACATGCTGTAAGCCCAGTTGTAAAAGTGGAAGCTCTCAACAGTTGCCTTTTGATGAGCAAAACAGGATAAAATCCTAGTAGTGACCTCCGATTTTGGAAACGGAGGAAGCTGTTCTGGGCACTCTAGTGGAAAACGGCGTCATTCACAGTGTGAAGAACTTTAAAAAGTTGGTTTTGAGGAACTTGGCTAAGCCACGATAGCCCACCAGATCAGGGTTACTCAACCTCAGCAGCTTCAATTGGGTGAACTTTTAACTCCCAGAATTCCCAACTGGTGGGAGTTGAAGTCTACCAATTGCAAAGTTGCTAAGCTTGAGAAACACTGCTGGATCACAGTTCCCATTTTCCTCAGCCATGCTAGGAACATTGGCAGTGACCCCCCCCCCCCCTCCTATTTGGAGGGCTATCCGGTTTTCAACAGTTGGGAGGAATTACCAGCCTTAAACAAAATAAGACCGACAACCTCTGTCCCAGTGAGAAGAAGGAAAAGATTAAACAACAAAGGATCACAGGTGTCCCACTTTACTGAGACCGAACAGGATTCGAATTGGTACGAATTCTGAGAGTTGAAGTCCATACCTCTTACAAGTGGTTGAGAAACTCTTATTTTACTAGTCGTGTCTTCCTAAATAAGACCAATGACCTTTCCAGATGCTGTATTCTCCCTCCTGAAGAGATGCAGCCAAAATAAACCACAGTGCATTTTAATGGATAGCCTACTCTAGGATCTACTACTATGGATTTTTTTTTCCCCTTCCCCTGGTGAAACAGAGGAAGATGCTCGGTAAGCTGTGTCCTTGATCCCTCTGTTTTTCACACAAGAGAAGCTGGGGGGGGGGAAGGGGGTGTCTCCCCTTCCAAGGCACAAAATTGCAAAGCACGCAGCCCCATGTGTCTCTAGGCAGGAAGGAAAGGAGCAGACCACCAACTCAATGCGTCTCTGTCATTGTCCTTTGCAGCCCCGAGTCCGTTAAGAGCTTTGCTTCCAGGCAGGTGATAGTCTTGGGCGTAGAGGCCCTGCAGGACACCGTTTAGGATTATATTCGGAAGCAGATCTGGATAAAAAGAGGAAGAAAAACTGTATAGCCGTTTGCAGTTAGATTTCCTACCTTTTTGCAGTTGGGAAAGCAAAACCGATTGTGTTGCTCAAGCAGGGATTTGCAACCTTGACCATTTTAAGACTTGTGGACTTCAGTTCCCAGAATTCCTCAGCCAGCATAGCTGGAAGCTGAAATCCACAAGTCTTAAAGTTGTCAAGGTTGCAGACCCTTGACTTATGGAGTGGCTGCCAACCACAGGCCCAGAGATAAATTAAGTCTTTGCCCCCACCCGAGCCAAGAAAGTGGGACATAAAGCTTAAGAATAACAACAACAAAAGCCGTAAAATACAACACTTTGGCATTGGAGCCCACTTGTTGAACTAGCTTAGGGTTCAACCAGTTCTAGAGTGAAACTAAGGTTCTGGGGGATTGTGGGTAAGTAGGACAATTTTAAGAGTTCTCTTTCCCCTTAAACCAGGATGGAGGGGCACACAGGTTAACAGCCAGCCAGCTCATGAAAGGCCTGGGCTCTTAATCCAAATTTTCCCAGCTTTGTGTCCTCTGGGTAGGCGGGCTTTGGGTTCCAGAATTCTTCAGTTGCCCATGCAGGCTGAAGGGATTGTGGGAAGGTGAAGCCATGTCTGGAGGGACTCCACACCGGCCTTTCTCAAGCTCAGCAACTTTTAAGACGTGTGGACTACAGCTCCCAGAATTCCCCAGTCAGCAATGGAATCCACACGTCTTAAAAGTTGCTGAGCTTGAGCAACACTGGTCTATACTTTCTGGAAGAGGTGAGGGGACCCCTCTAGAACAGTGTTTCTCAACCTCAGCAATTTTAAGATGTGTGGACTTCAACTCCCAGAATTCTCCAGCCAGCATGCTGGCTGAGGAATTCTGGGACTTGAAGTCCACAAATTGTAAAGTTGTTGAGGTTGAGAAATACTGCTCTAGAAGTTTCTGTAACCCTCTTCCCCCCCCCCCCCCCAGCTTCCTTCTTGACAACATGGCTTGGAGCAGGGGTGTCAAACTCAATTTCATTGAGGGCCGCATCAGCATTGCGGTTGCCCTCGGGGGGGGGGTGGGTGTGGCCAGGGTGGGTGTGGCCTACTGGGTGAGCATGGATGGAGTGGGTGTGGCCTACTGGGTGGGCGTGGCCAGCTCTACATCGTTCCCGTCAAGGGTGCCTGTGGGGGCCTGGGCAGGAGTGGGACAGATCTGAGGGTCTCTGGCAGAAGAGGGTGGGACCGGGGCAAGCGCCAAGGCATGGTCCACTGGAGGAGCCTCACCATTCCTCTCAGGCCATGCGGGGGTGGGGAGCTTATGGAGCTAAGACTGAATGCGTTTCAGCATAGATGGCCACCACAAAATTGTACATTGGCTCCCTCCTGGCCGGCCTGGGCCAGGGCCAAGGCAGCGGGGGCCATTCCCTCACTGTTTCCAGGATGGCTTCGCGGGCCACATGAAACCACTTCGCGGGCCACATCCGGCCCCTGGGCCTTGTGTTTGACATGTCTGCAGTAGAAGGTGCAGATTAAAGCAAGTAAAAGGTGGTATGGCTTTCATTGCACAGGTATTGACACCTTGACTGTTTTGACCCTCCGAGAGATGCCACAGGGTTAAGATACTGGATTGGGGCCACAGAACCCCAAATTCAAGTCCCACTTGAACACAAAGCCCAGCTGATGACTTGAGGTCAGCCACTTCTCTCTCACATGTCAACCTATCATTTATTTGTTTTTATTCATTTATTTATATCCCACCTTTATGATTTTCACAAATAACTCAAAGCGATGAACATATCTAACACACTTTTCTCCTCTAACACACATTTCTTCATTCCTCACAAAGGAATGCACCCGGGGGGGGGGGCAACACAGCAGGGGCTGGTTCCTCGCTGTTTCTAGACGGCCTTGTGGAGCTAAGACCGAATGCGTTTCAGCATAGATGGCCACCACAAAATTGTACATTGGCTCCTTCCCGGCCGGCCTGGGCCAGGGCCAAGGCAGCAGGGGCCGTTCCCTCACTGTTTCCAGGATGGCTTCGCGGGCCACATGAAACCACTTCGCGGGCTGCATCCGGCCCCCGGGCCTTGTGTCAGACATGTTGACGTGTCTGACATGTTTGACAAGTGAAGCTTGCTGGGTGCAGTCATTTTTGAAGAGCATATTTTTCCACACTTTCTCCCTCGCCTGCAAGGAGGAAGAGGAAGCGGTCCTCACCGCAAACCTATCACAAAATTATCTTTTGGCTTCGAAACTCCCATTGCATTTTNGCATGGCCATCTCTACATCGTTCGCGTCAAGGGTGCCTGTGGGGGCCTGGGCAGGAGTGGGACAGATCTGAGGGTCTCTGGCAGAAGGGGGTGGGACCAGGGCAAGTGCCAAGGCATGGTCCACTGGAGGAGCCTCACCATTCCTCTCAGGCCATGCGGGGGTGGGGAGCTTATGGAGCTAAGACTGAATGCGTTTCAGCATAGATGGCCACCACAAAATTGTACATTGGCTCCCTCCGGCCGGCCTGGGCCAGGGCCAAGGCAGCGGGGGCCGTTCCCTCACTGTTTCCAGGATGGCTTCGCGGGCCACATGAAACCACTTCGCGGGCCTCATCCGGCCTTGTGTTTGACATGTCTGCAGTAGAAGGTGCAGATTAAAGCACGTAAAAGGTGGTATGGCTTTCATTGCACAGGTATGGACACCTTGACTGTTTTGACCCTCCGAGAGATGCCACAGGGTTAAGATACTGGATTGGGGCCACAGAACCCCAAATTCAAGTCCCACTTGAACACAAAGCCCAGCTGATGACTTGAGGTCAACCACTTCTTTCTCACATGTCAATCTATCATTTATTTGTTTTTATTCACTTATTTATATCCCACCTTTATGATTTTCACAAATAACTCAAAGCGATGAACATATCTAACACACTTTTCTCCTCTAACACACATTTCTTCATTCCTCACAAAAGGTGACCCCTCCCCAGCATGCACCCAGGGGGGCCGACACGGCAGAGGCTGGTTCCTCGCTGTTTCCAGACGGCCTTGTGGAGCTAAGACTGAATGCGTTTCAGCATAGATGGCCACCACAAAATTGTACATTGGCTCCTTCCCGGCCGGCCTGGGCCAGGGCCAAGGCAGCGGGGGCCGTTCCCTCACTGTTTCCAGGATGGCTTCGCGGGCCACATGAAACCACTTCGCGGGCCTCATCCGGCCCCCGGGCCTTGTGTCAGACATGTTGACGTGTCTGACATGTTTGACAAGTGAAGCTTGCTGGGTGCAGTCATTTTTGAAGAGCATATTTTTCCACACTTTCTCCCTCGCCTGCAAGGAGGAAGAGGAAGCGGTCCTCACCGCAAACCTATCACAAAATTATCTTTTGGCTTCGAAACTCCCATTGCATTTTGCCGTAGTCCTCAACATAACGGCCATAATGAAACTTGGCCATTGTAGTTGGATGCTGGGACGGCGGTAAATCGGGTCGGTCATGCGACCGACCAGATTTTATGATTTTTTTTTGCGGCAGTCATTAAGCGAAGCCATTTGCGAAGCAGCTGGCTACAAGTTCAGGATTTATAAAAGTCTGCACTTTGTCCCTGGTTTGGCTTCCATCACACCCAAAGCTTCCGAAACACATTTGGCCTTTCCCAGCCTCTGCTGGATGGCACAGCCTTGGCTAACTGGTGTTCCCCTTCCTCTGTCACCCCCACTCCTGTCCCCCCCAAAAAAACGGCTTCTTCAAGGCTTACCCGTGGAAGATGGGAGCACGTACGGATCACTGTGGAAGCTTATGCCAGGCCGGTGAGAGAGCTGGGCACAGGGGCTGTTGGAGAGAAGAAAGTGCCACCTTGTGTGTTAGAACAAGCAGGAAAGGGGCAAAGAGTAACAGAATTAACAGTTGGAAGGGAGCCTGCGGGGTCATCTAGACCAACCCCCTGCTCAAGCAGGAGACCTTATACCAGTCTGGCAAAATGGTTGCCACTTGACTTGATGGGTACCTTCCTTTCTATAAAAATAAGGGGGATGAGAAGCAAACCAGCCAGCAAGCAAGTTTTCATGCTTCATATAAAGAGAATGGGAAGAATAACAGAGCTGGAAGGGACCTGGGAGGTCTTCTAGTCCAACCCCCTGCTCAGGTAGGAGAACCTTCTACATCACCTATATCTTCCTTCCTCCATGTTACTCAGGGTCCTTCAGTGCTTAGAGTAAGCAGGGAAGTGGGGACTTTTTTTCTAGGCTGGGGGCTACTCAGGATTTGGGGTGGCATGCCAGGGGCGGCAGTCAAAGAGAGACAGGCGGAGTTGGGGGACTCGGTGATCTTCCTCCCTGCATCCAGAATATTTGCAGAATATTTGCAGCTCAGGGTTGAACTGTGGGGTTCTTGGTGCTTTCTGAGCTTGTTTTCTGAGCGGGCGTTTCATTACCAAACTAGATAACATCATCAGTGCTTCAGTGATGTGTATGATGACCAGTGCACTGATGATGTTACCTACTTTGGTAATGGAATGTCTGCAAGAAAACAGCCAAGCTACCATCTGATTAAGCTATAATTACTAAAATTTTAGATTGTGCAGAAATGGATAGATTAACACTGGAGATTAAAGAGAAAGATGATTCAATTTATTTTAAAACTTGGGAAAAATTTTTACCAATGGTTAGAGATACGTAAATGATGGGCTTTTAACTAAGTTTTAGATTTTAGGTTAATAATATTGTTATTTTTAGTGTGTTTAAAAGATAATGTGATAATTATGATCATTTGAGAATGTACTAATGATAATAATGTTGATTAGATGAGATTTTAATAATTTTGTTTACCTATTCAAAGGAAGTCTATTTATCAATTTTTAGTATGATGGTTACACTTAACTTCATTGCATGATTGCTGACTACGATATGAATTATGTTATTTAATACTTAGACCCGGACGGAAACTTGTTTGTTAAAGCATGAAATTATTGTTGGGGGTTGCCCCCATTATTGTATTTACCCCTACCCTGCCCCAAATTCCACATCCCTCCCTTTTCCCATACCCATATTGATCCTATCCTTTTTTACCTATACAAAATTTAATAAAATATTTAAAAAAAGAAAAGAAAATAGCCAAGCTCAGAGAGCATCAAGGATGCCATGGAATGTGACTTGCTTAGAGCTTAGAAATTGAGCCTAAATATTCCTGGAGAAATGGGACTGGAAGAAGCTGGCCTTCTTGTATTTTCTAGATTTATAGACAATCTCATCTTTCTCCTTAAGACCCAACAGCTCTCCGAAAGCTGATTTCTAAGGGTGATGAAAATCCGATATATCTAGAACATGGAAGCTTGGCAAACATTGGAATAAACAATGAGGTCAAAGTGGTACTTGGAACCCCCTCACCCAACCAAAGTTGGGGTGCTCCCCCAGCCCCTCTCTTAAAAAAATAGAAAACAACTTGCCTGAAGTCCTGAAAGGAAGAGTTCTCATCCCATCTGTTGAAAAAGAAACCAAATACAGTGTCTTCAGCAGAACAGAATATTTGCAGCTCAGGGTGAACTGGGGGGGTCCTTGGTGCTCTCTGAGCTTGGTGATTTTCTTGCAGACGTTTCATTACCCAACTAGGGGACATTATCAGTGCTGGAAAGAGGGGTTTGCAAACTGGGTAATGAAATATCTGCAAGACAACCAAGTTCAAAACGCACTGACAACTCCACAAAGACAGTTGTCTCCACAAAGTTGTCTCCACAAAAACAACTCCATCGTGGGCGCTCCATCACTGGAGATTTTTAAGAAGAGGCTAGACAGTCACTTGTCTGAGATGGTATAGGTTCTCCTACTTGAGCAGGCTGGACTAGAAGACCTCCAAGGTCCCTTCCAGCTCTCTTCTAGTCTAGTTGAGTCGAGTCTATTCTATTCCTAGTCTAGTCTATATTCTATATTCTATATTCTATTCTATTCTATTCTATTCTAGTCTAGTCTAGTCTAGTCTAGTCTATTCCATTCCATTCCATTCCATTCTATTCATCATTCTATTCATCATTATACTATTCTATTATTATTCTATTCATATCTTCATCTGCTACTTCATCTATTACTCTGAATGCAATCTAAAAAAAAAGACACTACACTTTATTGTAGTTTGTGAATCAGCCCTTGGTGTTGGATTTTTCACTGTGATTTTTGGCAGGGTGGGGAGAAGGGAAAAGCTTGAGATAAGAAGGATGCAATGGAATCCACGTAGAACAGAAGCCCTCCAGATGATCCTGCACAACGACACGCAGCAGCGTCCATCCCCATTGGCCATACTAAAACGGACTGCTGGGATTTGTAGTTCAACAGCCCCTGGAGGACCACAGGTCTCCCTGGTCCAGCTGTGGACACCTGCAGGGAGATGGGATCTGCTGCTCCTTCCTTCTGTTTCCACTCCCGAGAAATACTCACACCAAATGGGGCTCCTGCAGGCCTTGCCAGAGCTTCAAGAAATGAAGCAGTTCCTTGGGAAGTGTTTGGTTCTGCAAGATGACGCCCTGCGGGGAATGCAAAAAGTAGGGGGAGTAAAACCTTCTCTGAGGCATATCGGGAGAGGTGGCTTCAGCAGGGAATAACCATCTCCCTCCCCATGCTGTAAATCAGAGGCCCCCAACCTTTGGGGCACCAGGCACGGGTTCCGTGGAGAGAGGTTTTTCCACGGACCGGAGGGTGCGTGGTTTTGTGTGCAGCCTGCATCCCGTGGATGGGGCTTTGCTTGTTTGTGCGGACCGGTTGCTGGCATGCCGCGGCCCGGTACCGGTCCACGGCCCAGGGCTTGGGGACCCCTGCTGTAAATCACCTGCAGATAAGCTTCTAATCCCGCTCTCCGTTGCTGCAGAACCTTCACCATCCAGTTCGGGACCCGTTTGGGTGGGAAGTCGGGAACCTGGCAGCTCCCCTTGATCTAAGGAGAGAACCGAGGACACGGTGCCTGTTAGGACCTGGGCGCCCACAGAAACGGACCAAGAAACTGCCGCGGTTCTGAAATTGGGAACCTTTGCAGGGAGTCCTCCACTTACAGCAGTTTAGTGGCCGTTCAAACTTACAACAGCACGGGGAAAAAAGTGAGTTGCGACCATTTTTCACGCCGACGACCCACTGCAGCATCCCCAGGGTCACGTGATCAGAATTCGGATGCTTGGCAACTGGTTCGTATTTACGACCGTTGCAGTGTCCCCGGGGGTCCTGGGACCCCCTTTTGCGACCTGCTGACAAACCATGTCAATGGCGAAGCCAGATTCTCTTAACCATGTTCCTAATTTAACAACTGCAGTGATTCACTTAACAACTGTGGCAAGAAAGGTTGTCAAATGGGGCAAAATTCCCTTAACGAATGTCTCGCTTATCAACAGAAATTTTGAGCTCAGTTGTGGTTGTAAGCCAAGGACTACCCATATTGCACTGCTGCTGTCCTCTGGAGGCAGGTCGTTCTTGACTTTAACAGCCATTCATTTAGTGACTGCTTGACGTTACGCTGGCAGTAAAAAAAAGTGACTTACAATTGGTCCTCGCAGTTACAACCGCATTCGCATCTCTGTGGTCATGTGATTAAAAAATGAAGGCGCTTGGCAACCATGTTGGCACTTGGCAATATATATTTACAACAATTGAAACAATCCCAGGATCAATTGATTGCCATTTGCGACCTTCCCAGCTGGCTTCCGACAAGCAAAGTCAGTGAGGGAATCCGGATTCGTTTAAGGACTGTGTGACTCATTGAACAACAGTTTATAGATAACAACAGCTGCAAAACCAATATGAATGGATTCATCTGCATATGGCCTGGTGCTGGGTTCAAAATGCAGAGGGATGAGAAACACATGGAATCTCAGGTGCACCTCCCTCTTGTCTCCAGCAGGTGGCAGCACATAGCCAGGTTTAGCTGATCTCCAGAAGCTGAAAGAAGGCCTTCCTTGATCCAATGCTCTTTGGAAGGGAGACCACTATGAAATCCCAGGGTTCTGGCTAAATTAGAACATTGGGGGGTGAGCGAAATCCCCTAAAGGAAACAACCAACCAATTACTTTTGTGCTGATGGCAGAAATATGAAAGGTCGACCGAAGGAGGAAATGTCCCCCTTTACTCACCCTTTTATGAAGTGCGTAAAACTCGCTGTAGCGCTTCTCCACGCAATGCTTCCTTCCGTTACACACGATCTCCACTTTGAATACCTGCAACGGCACCCAGAGGTGGGTCAGATTCACAGCCCCTGCCTTCAGTTACGTCCCAGCTGGCCTTCTGCTGGGTTCAAAAGACTCTCCTTGCAAACTGTAGCCTCCCAGACGTCCTGGCTAGAGAGACCAGGCTGGAAGGAGAAGCTTTTTCAGCACTTTTGAATGAAAGATACAATTTGGTTATCAGCCCGGCTTTTTCTACATGGGCAGCAACTCGAGGGAGGCTCCGAGTTCAAGCAAAGGAGACAAATGGGAGGGGCCAGCAGAGGCTGGCCTGAAATCAGAAGCCGCTGTGTCTTGGCTGGGAAATTCTTCACAACACTTCCTGGGCAGTTGCCATCTCTCCTAAAGTCTAGGTGTGTATCCGTGCAGAGAGACCGCACCTGATACCTTTATGCGTCTGGGTGTGTCTCCATCCTGCTTTCTGTTTTTTGGAAGTAGCCGGTCCTTGCTTTCTTTTTACTAGGGTTGCGAGAAAGAGATTGGCCCGAGGTTGCCCAGTCAGCTTCCGTGCCTAAGGCAGGACTAGAACTCACCATCGCCTGGTGATAGGCCTAAAGTCACCCAGTTGGCTTTCATGCCTAAGGCAGGACTAGAACTCACTGCCTCCTTGGGGATTGCTTCAAGTTACCTACCCAGCTTTCATGGCTAATGAGGAACTAGAACTCCCAGTCTCCTGGTGATTGGCTCCAAGTCACCCAGCCGGCTTCGTGCCTAAGGTGGGGCTAGAATTCACTGTCTCCCGGTTTGTAGCCCGACGCCTTTGACCACTACCCCAAAAGGGCTCTTTGTAACAAACACATTGTTTCTCAATCCAGGTTCCCACAACCGCTTTCCTTCCTAATTTGTGGATTTTCTCAGAGGCCTCTAGCTGAGCTCATAGGAAATAGATCAGGCACCCAGCCAACTTTCCAAAAGTCCACTTCTATATCAATAAAACCAGCCCCTCCCCCTTGACCTGTAACTTGATCCCTTCTCCTACAAGGTCCATAAACTTCCTTTTAAAAGGTTCAAACTGCACTGGGGAAGCGAACGTGACAAAATGATGGGTGGTGCCTTCAGTCCAAGTTGTTCCAGCTAGGAAAAAAGAAACAGCCTTCTGCCCGGACACTTAATTGAAAGGTTATTGCAGCGTTTCCCAAACCTGGCTGCCCTAAGGATCCACTGCCTGGCTTCTTTGCTTCTCCTTCCTAGCTGTGGTGTTGTTTAACCAAAGGACACTGCCCCAATACACAAACTTACCTTTAATAATAATAATAATAATAATAATAATAATGATGATGATGATGATGATGATGATGATGATGATGATGATGATAAAGTTGGAAAGGACCTTGGAGGTCATCTAGTCCAACCCCCTGCTCAGGCAGGAAACCCTATACCATTTCAGACAAATGGCTGTCCAGTCTCTTCTTTAAAACTTCCAGGGTTGGAGCATTCACCGCTTCTGGAGGCAGGTTGTTCCACTGGTTAATTGTTCTAAGTGTCAGGAAGTTTCTCCTTAGTTCTAGGTTGCTTCTCTCCTTGATGAGTTTCTACCCGTTGCTTCTTGTCCTGCCTTCAGGCGCTTTGGAGAATAGCTTGACTCCCTCTTCTTTGGGGCAGCCCCTGAGATATTGGAACACTGCTATCATGTCCCCCCTCGTCCTTCTCTTCGTTAAACTAGACATACCCAATTCCAGCAGCCTTTCCTTATATGTTTTAGCCTCCAGTCCCCTAAATCATCTTTGTTGCTCTTCTCTGGACTCTTTCTAGAGTCTCAGCATCTTTTTTACATGGTGGTGACCAAAACTGGATGCAGTATTCCAAGGGTGGCCTTACCAAGGCCTTGTAAAGTGGTATTAACACTTCAGGTGATCTTGATTCTATCCCTCTGTTAATGCAGCCTAGCACTGTGTTGGCTTTTTTGGGCAGCTGCAGCACACGGCTGGCTCTTCCTCCTCCAAACCACAACACAGGCCTACCAGCCCCTCTTGCTTATGAAGGCACGGAAGAGCCACACAGCCCAGGGAGAAAGTTTGCATTCCCACAATATCCTGAGTTCAACAGGAGTCAGGGAGTCACTCAAATGTCTCCAGGCCAGAGAGGGTCTGCCTTAATCCCGCTGGACCGGAGGCAGGAAGCTGACTCACACAGGCCTGGGGTGGGGTGGGGCTGGGGGGGGATAATTCTCAGGTTTCCAGAGCCGAGAGGCATTTCAGATCAATTCTCCCTTGGGTGACTTTGGCTGCCCACGCACACACAACACAAAGGGCCAGCTGTTCTTCCCTGAGCAGGTGCTTTCCTGACCAGCCTTTCCAGGGAGAGCAAAAAAGCCGGGCTGAATAAGCTGTTTATTGATTCCAAGGAAGAGACTTCTTTCTCTTGATTCCTGGCTGGATTGCACAAACAGTGCGCCAGTGTCCATGTGCCAGGGAGATGTTTGCCTTCCTCCAAACATGTCCTAAAAGATTCCTGACGTCATTCCCCTCATTTAAAGGAAGAGGGCCGAACCCCCCTGCCAGGATGCCTGGCACTGCGTGGCACCTTCTGCACACTAAGTACCTGGGGACATTCCTGAGGGCAATTGCATTCCCCCCCCCTCAATTGCATTCTCTCTCTCTCTCTCTCTCTCTCTCTCAATTGCATTCTCTCTCTCTCTCTCTCAATTGCATTCTCTCTCTCTCTCTCAATTGCATTCTCTCTCTCTC